GTCTATTGGACTGTCTCTGTCTCTACAACTGAACCGGTGTGCCTGAGATCTTCGAATGCCGGCTTCAAGCGCTGACTGCTGATGATTGCGCCAAATATGGTAGACGAGGCCACCCAGTTCACAAAGGAACAACTCTGATTGGTTAACCTCACGGCCGCGTGCATTAAAAACAAAAGACGCACAGTTGAGAAGACTGCACCCCGCCTATGTCAGAGAAAATGCAAATGCGCGATCATATCCCATCTACTACAGCTATCAAACGCTTGAACTGGAACCACACCCTTCTTTACGCTTGGCAATAATGTGATGGAACGACTTTAAAATGGCTTTACATATGTAGGAATGAAATATATGCATATGTCGTACGGCGATTCACAATTATTTGTCACTGTCCAGAGTGTGTCGTAGGATCGTATGTTTTAACATAGGTTAGGTATCTATCTACCCTCCCTCCCTTGACGCACTGATGTCGTTTTACACACGAGCGAGTAAACCCTACATGCACAATAACGGTTAGACAAATCACAAAACAAAAGCTTCCTGAAAAAATTTCCAAAACAGACTAATGTGAAAATGCAAACGTGAAAAGGAGATCAGAAGGAAAGCCCGAGGGAGGACGATGATGCATACTCGTCTCTTTTCTCGTAATAGGTGTTGCCTGGCCCTTTGTAGAATATTGATTTCATAATAGTAGGTCTACCCGCACCATTGGGAACATTAACGTAAACAAATTATTTGTAAATTATTGGTTTCTTGGAATGTTGTGACACCATTTGCACCATATGGCGCAGTTTTATGGATGTCCAGGCAAGGAATTATATCTAATTCCTTGGCCCAGGTTTCTCATTTTTAAGCAATAAACCAATATTATTGCACAGAGTGTCAAACCTCTGTTGGTATTTATCTGAAGTACATGACAAATCGGTCAAATGACGTTCAGTTGTTCCTACGGCAGATTGTGTTGTCAAGTCCATTTTTATGTTTTCAATTGAATATCATAGTCTGAATGTTTCGAGCACGCTCTGAATGCACAGACTGTTGGAATGTTTCAGGTATCTGCATGGCCTTACAACCTTTATGTCCCAGTATCATACTCAGACACACATGTATTGTATAATAGAAGAGATTTCGGCGACCTCTGCCCACTTAATGAAATGCTAATGACATACTCATTGACGTTGACGAGCAATTTGTTGCAAGAACGGCAATGTAACATATTTGCCGCGTTAAATTTAACTGAGAAGTAAAATATTAATCTAAAAAAAAAACGAAGAACCCAATCTCAAGAGTATTATGCAATAATTATATTTGTTTTCCCACAACAAATTCTAATTACTGCACTGTACAGCTGACTGTAGTGAAAAGGTTGGTGGCCAGCACTTCAAAGCCATTGTGCTTTCACCTTTAAAAGACTAATCAGTGATCTTTCAAAGACTAATCATGCATGTAATCACATAAATCGAATATTTTAAACAATATCTCTCAGCTGGCTGTTAAAGACCCTCAAAATAACCAGGGATGGCTGGTGCAGGATTGGGAGGGGGGTAAGTGATCGAGCCTAATGAAAATATTTGGGGTAGAAATAAGTAAGAGTACACCCCTTAATAACACAGACGTTAGTTTCATACAAAAATGTTCCATCCAGCAGCTCAAAGTTGATGATTTATTGCATAAGATTGAGTACTGACATTTTCACTGCAAGCCAGTCTGCACCTGGGGAACAGGCGCTGGGTATTGAACTATTAATTTCACATTCAATATTTAAGGGGCTTTCAAAAATGTTAGTGGAACTGGATAAGAAGAGGGGATCTTTGAGATACCATTTAATCACAAAAAAGGAGAGGAACAAACCAAACCATGGCAGCTGCCCTGTGAGAGATCAGGATGTTGTGGTGTAACCTTCTGGTTAACATTATGTCTCCTACACTTGTATGACTTAACATAATATAAAGCATCTTATACCTTTTATTTCAATTTTTCTTTTATCTATACAGCCATAAGCATGCATACATCTGCATGAGGTCATAAAATAATCCAGTGCTCTAAGCTTAGGGATAATGCAAATAAATTATATCAAGTACAATGAGGACTCCAGGAAATATGTTATCCAATGCTTGGTTTTTACCTAAATTATATTTTTCATAACTTGTATAAAAAATGGAAGAACCTTTTTATATCAGTGCATTCATGAGACAGGCATTAAAGCATACAACAAAATGCTAATAAAATGCTAATAAATAATGCTAATCATAATAACAATAAACCATTTAGAACCCTTCATGTCATGTAGAAAGACCAATTTTAGTTATTTTGTGATCAAATAGCTTTNCAAGCGTCTGTCGGCCTCTCCGTTCTGTATAAAGCTCAATTTGTAATATAACTTATAGAAGCGAACCACCATGCTTTGGAGAGGTAGTGAGCCCAGTATTGTTTGTTTTCACGAAAAACTAATAAAATCAATTTCATTTGAACTCGGGGTGCTATATCCACTCTCTCGATGTCAGCTACCAAAACAACGCTAGAAGGCAATATTCTCCCCTCCAGCCATCTGCACTTATGATGCTGGACATAAATCAGGGTTGCCAGATGTGGCATTTTCTTGCACCGAGGTAAGCTTCTAAAGTCATTGTTTCGTTTGCAGTTAGGAAGACTTTTTTCACATTTTTTTGCTGATGAAAATATATCACCTTCAAGAATGACATATCTGCAACGCCGGCTGCTAAGATTTCACTTGAAAGGGTTCAGACAGGAAATTAGTTCAATATATGAAGGCGTTGCTTTGAGAGATTCAGTTTTCTCGAGTAGACAGATGTGGGCGATGAGTTTGAAATTGGAATAAAAACATACATGTATCTACGAGAGATTAAAAAAAGACAGACTCACGTTCTGCTGTGGTTTCTGGTTCTGCTGATGGCTCAGCCGTGCTTTCCTGTCCATAGGCAACGTACAGCAGACCCATACACACCAAAGCTACGATCCAAAGCTTCATCTTGTTGTCTATTGGACTGTCTCTGTCTCTACAACTGAACCGCTGTGCCTGAGATCTTCGAATGCCGGCTTCAAGCGCTGACTGCTGATGATTGCGCCAAATATGGTAGACGAGGCCACCCAGTTCACAAAGGAACAACTCTGATTGGTTAACCTCACGGCCGCGTGCATTAAAAACAAAAGACGCACAGTTGAGAAGACTGCACCCCGCCTATGTCAGAGAAAATGCAAATGCGCGATCATATCCCATCTACTACAGCTATCAAACGCTTGAACTGGAACCACACCCTTCTTTACGCTTGGCAATAATGTGATGGAACGACTTTAAAATGGTTTTACATATGTAGGAATGAAATATATGCATATGTCGTACGGCGATTCACAATTATTTGTCACTGTCCAGAGTGTGTCGTAGGATCGTATGTTTTAACATAGGTTAGGTATTTATCTACCCTCCCTCCCTCGACGCACTGATGTCGTTTTACACACGAGCGAGTAAACCCTACATGCACAATAACGGTTAGACAAATCACAAAACAAAAGCTTCCTGAAAAAATTTCCAAAACAGACTAATGTGAAAATGCACTGAAAATGGAAAGTACAAACGTGAAAAGGAGATCAGAAGGAAAGCCCGAGGGAGGACGATGATGCATGCTCGTCTCTTTTCTCGTAATAGGTGTTGCCTGGCCCTTTGCAGAATATCGATTTCATAATAGTAGGTCTACCCGCACCATTGGGAACATTAACGTAAACAAATTATTTGTAAATTATTGGTTTCTTGGAATGTTGTGACACCATTTGCACCATATGGCGCAGTTTTATGGATGTCCAGGCAAGGAATTATATCTAATTCCTTGGTCCAGGTTTCTCATTTTTAAGCAATAAACCTATATTATTGCACAGAGTGTCAAACCTCTGTTGGTATTTATCTGAAATACATGACAAATCTGTCAAATGACGTTCAGTTGTTCCTACGGCAGATTGTGTTGTCAAGTCCATTTTTATGTTTTCAAGTGAATATCATAATCTGAATGTTTCGAGCACGCTCTTAGTGCACAGACTGTTGGGGACTGTTGTGGGAGGGGGGGGGGGTGCAGCCCCAGTTTCAGTTATCTGCATGGCCTTACAGCCTTTATGTCCCAGTATCATACTCAGACACACATGTATTGTATAACAGAAGAGATTTCGGCGACCTCTGCCCACTTAATGAAATGCTAATGACATACTCATTGACGTTGACGAGCAATTTGTTGCAAGAACGGCAATGTAACATATTTGCCGCGTTAAATTTAACTGAGAAGTAAAATATTAATCTAAAAAAAATACTCATTGACGTTGACGAGCAATTTGTTGCAAGAACGGCAATGTAACATATTTGCCGCGTTAAATTTAACTGAGAAGTAAAATATTAATCTAAAAAAAAAAACGAAGAACCCAATCTCAAGAGTATTATGCAATAATTATATTTGTTTTCCCACAACAAATTCTAATTACTGCACTGTACAGCTGACTGTAGTGAAAAGGTTGGTGGCCAGCACTTCAAAGCCATAATGCTTTCACCTTTAAAAGACTAATCAGTAATCTTTCAAAGACTAATCATGCATGTAATCACATAAATCGAATATTTTAAACAATATCTCTCAGCTGGCTGTTAAAGACCCTCAAAATAACCAGGGATGGCTGGTGCAGGATTGGGAGGGGGTAAGTGATCGAGCCTAATGAAAATATTTGGGGTAGAAATAAGTAAGAGTACACCCCTTAATAACATGGACGTTAGTTTCATACAAAAATGTTCCACGCAGCAGCTCAAAGTTGATGATTTATTGCATAAGATTGAGTACTGACATTTTCACTGCAAGCCAGTCTGCACCTGGGGAACAGGCGCTGGGTATTGAACTATTAATTTCACATTCAATATTTAAGGGGCTTTCAAAAATGTTAGTGGAACTGGATAAGAAGAGGGGATCTTTGAGATACCATTTAATCACAAAAAAGGAGAGGAACAAACCAAACCATGGCAGCTGCCCTGTGAGAGATCAGGATGTTGTGGTGTAACCTTCTGGTTAACATTATGTCTCCTAGACTTGTATGACTTAACATAATATAAAGCATGTTATACCTTTTATTTCAATTTTTCTTTTATCTTTACAGCCATAAGCATGCATACATCTGCATGAGGTCATAAAATAATCCAGTGCTCTAAGCTTAGGGATAATGCAAATAAATTATATCAAGTACAATGAGGACTCCAGGAAATATGTTATCCAATGCTTGGTTTTTACCTAAATTATATTTTTCATAACTTGTATAAAAAATGGAAGAACCTTTTTATATCAGTGCATTCATGAGACAGGCATTAAAGCATACAACAAAATGCTAATAAAATGCTAATAAATAATGCTAATCATAATAACAATAAACCATTTAGAACCCTTCATGTCATGTAGAAAGACCAATTTCAGTTATTTTGTGATCAAATATCTATCATAAGACTGCACTGCACAAAACCACTGGAAAAAATCATGTATCATTTGCATCTACCTTTGGCTCAAAACTATTCATTGTTTTTGAAAAATTCATTGCACAATATCTATAACAGTTGTCTTTACAATTCTCCAAATAACATTCTGAAATAATTCAATATATAAAACAATAACGCAACATATCTGATAAGCAATGACCCTACACCAGTTTACATGCATTTTATTTATCACAAGCACATGAGCATCTAGCTGTAGCTGGCAACTTAACAAAGTTGAAGCAGGGTTGCTTTGTTCAGTAGTTTCATTTCTCATCAAAATTATATACACAGTTAATATACCTTTGTTCATTTATCTATGTTTATAAATAATTTTAAGACATTTGGCAATTACACATGGGCAGCGTGTTGTATAAATCTACAAAGTTCTGGGTTCACTGCTACACTTTGGAATGATACCTCTGTGTGTGTGTGTGTGTGTGTGTGTGTGTGTGTGTGTGTGTGTGTGTGTGTTTGTGCGTGTACATGTGCATACGTGCATACTAACTCGACTTGTGTTCCTATACTCGACAGTGTGCTGGGACTCTACACCAAAAAGATGGAAATTTACAGAAAGCTGCAAGTTTCAAAAATATATTTGTTATAAATACTTCAGATTGAGAAAATATATTTGGGATATCAGTGTATAAAAATGGGAAAAAAGTTTAAAATATTTTTCTACCAAACTAAACAAATGTTCATGTCAGGAGCAAATCACATATCTCACATATCTGCTGCAAGGGAGGCAGTTTTGTTATGCATTCTATATATATATTCATAATGAAATGACTTCACTTTCAATAATCTTATTTCATGCTGTGTTAGGTATGACAGGCCCAAAGGCTGTGCTTGAAAACTATAAACCCCAAAACACCTTAAAATAACCATGAATGCCAAAAAGCAGGCATTAATATTCTGTGTCAGATTTGCAGCAATTGATAAAAAAAATAAAGCCGATACTTTGCTTTAATAATTAACTGAAGCTGAAAATCAAAAATGCTATTACACTGAATACATTTTAATAATTATATTGTGCATTGAGAAAGATATCACATATTACCTTTTGTAGACCTTTTGTAGACGGCCTCACCCTTTGTGTTTCAAAGAACAAGGAAAAAATAAAATTAACAATGTGAGAATACTTAAGCAGTATTCTCTGACAGCAGAGTTTAGACCAACGGATCTAAGTATCTACTTTGTTTTCAATTTAGTATTGTACTTGGAAGCTTTCTCTTTTCACTTTCATTTACATGGTGTTACCCTTGTTTCACTTTAAGACTTATCTAGTTGATAAAAATTATCACTGGACAATGTAATCTTTATAGTTCTTCAGGGACTTCAGAGCTTTTTTCAGTGCTTTTATGAAGTCATATGGTTGAACTAGCAAGGATATATCCTTTCCAACAGCATTCAGGCGGTGTTCAATCTGAAATGTAAAATAAAATACTTTGAACTTCCTAATTAACTGCAATTTAAATAAAAAAGATGAATTAACTAATACACTAACAAATCACAAGGTGTAAAAAATTGTGTAAAACAAATATACATGCAACATAAAAAAGATTAAGAACTAACCTTCGAGCAATTTTTTCACAAGCAGATAATATTATAAGGACATAAAAAAACACGGACTTCAATGGAACAAGTGTGTGTGTGTGTGTGTGTGTGTGTGTGTGTGTGTGAGGTGCATGCCTGTTGAGGAAAAGCAAATATCATCAAACTTACTTCATTGTCTTTGAAGAAAAGATTGAGAGGCCTATTGTTGATCTCTGTAAGACTCCAGTTGCATAAAGTGGTGCCATCTATACTTTTTGCCATTGCTGGAAGCCCATGCTGAGCTGCCAGACCATCTTGGTCAACGCGTACAATCTGGATAAAAAACATAACATGCAAACAGTTTTGCAGATTACAAAATTTTCCTTTGAAAATAAATTGAACCAATGGCATAGTTAACTGCAGCAATCACAAATGCTCACTAAGTTATTTAGGTTTCCTTGTTCCTTAGAAGGACATGTAACATGCTAAAGGACCAATTATGGGGGTGGTAAACTTCAATCAAATGTCACTTCAGTTCAGATATGACAAGTGAGCATGTAAGGAAATTTGAAAATGAAGAAGCTGGCCGTGATCACCTTTGAATCTAATCAAAACTTTGAACCCAATTACCTCAGCTGTCCCTCCTTCTCTCTTGATCCCCAAACTTTCTCCTTCAGCTGATCTACGGATAGCAAACACACGTCCATGGGGTAATCGTCTGATCAAAAAGTTCACTTTGTAATAATCATCACAATGTTTGATTGCCTTTTGTGCCGCTTGAGCAGAGTGAATTACTTGGTCATTGATAGAGAGGATGTTATCTCCTATGTGGAAGGCATTGTGAAGAGAAGGCCGGTCCCTCATGTTCCAACCTGCCACCCTAAAATACCACATTTCAGTGTAACACTACCCTGAGTGTCAGAGCAACGTAAAAGCAAGCTTGTTAAATATACCTTGTGATGGAGTCGCTTTTAGTAGTATTGTTGATATGGGTTATATATGAAATCAAGATCGAGCTGACAATACCGGAATCTAGAACCTAGGGTATGTACCACTGGACTGGTTACTCTCTATTCTAAAAATATCATACTTAAATCATGGTGTTTATTCAACCTGGTGTTTATTTCCAGTTTCAGGATTCCTCAGAGTGATATAAATGAAAACTTTTTTTTACTGATCTGCTATGTTGAATGACCACCCTTAATCATGGCAAGCTTCATTCATTAAATCTTCTTGCATAGTGATACAGTTAGAAGCCAATTTACAAAGATACTTATTGGCTGACAGATAGCACTTACCAAACAGTCCCAAAGCAATCCACTAGTGCAATGCTGCCCAAGCAGTCAGATTTCCTTAGGGCGATGGAGACACCCTGCATGGCCATCTCATTCTTCAGTATTTGAACCTGGCTCTCCTTCAGGGAAATTCCTCTATGCAGTCTCCGTGGCGGAAGAGGGCCTGGCCCCTCTGGAGATGGAACAGATCGTCGTGATACCTGAGAGTGGGTGCGAGCAGGAAGAGGAGGGGGTGCATTTTCAGAAATAGAAGAGGCCAGAGGAGGCATTCTGCTGCTAGGGGAACCCAAGCTGTGAGGTGACAGGGGGGAGGTGGCTCCACCTGTTGGGGACTGGCCAGCAGTCCGCACAGGGATCATGCCTGGCATGTAAGCCGAACGAGGAGGGGTGTAAGGGGGTGGTGCCTCCTCTAGAGGGGGTGGTCCACCTGGTCCATAGTTTACTTCTGGACCTTCAAGTTCTCTCAATTTACGAGCTAACCTCATATCAACTTCATCTGCAATGTTAGGAGAATTCTGCAAGTTGTTTCCTGCTGTTTGCTCAAAGCCACTTGTCTGTCTGTCTGGAGATGCCATACAGGTATAAGTATCAGGAGGACCAGGACAGGAAGCAGATCTCTGAAAGGAAGATGGAGGAACTGGGGGAGGGGGATGGGACTGTGATGGAATTTTGGTCCGACGTCTTGGTATCGGAGGAATGACATCAGGTTGATCGGAAAATGCCGAGTCTGGTGCACTGACTGAAGTCTTCATAGAATGAACTGGAAGTGGCACCTCCCATAAGGCCTCATAAGTGTTGGCACCATTGCTTTCATGATAGCTGCGAGCTGGAGCTACAGCACCTGAAAAGCTACTGACATTTGTGTCCCGAGATGACCCACTTGTGACTGAATTAGATCCATCTGTGACCTGGTCTGCAGAAACAGAGTTCTCCATGCTAGAGGCATGTCTTGGATGTGGTATTGCCTTTGAAATTTTTGCTGCAGAGACCTGGTTTACAGCTGGAGTCTCAGCTTCTGGGGTACATGATTGATCTGTACTAGGATGCTGTTGGGTCTGTAACTCATCACCATAATTTTGTGCCATCAAATGATTGGTTTCCTCTTCAAGTAACAAATTGTCTTCATAATCAGAATCTGTATCTTCTTCTTCTTCAAGTGAAGCAAAAACACTACTTGTTCCATGGGAATTATGATCAGCGACGGAATTCCTCCCCTGTTTCTGCATCTCATGTTCTCTAATAATGCTGTCAATCACATCTTCCACATCTCCAGTTCTGCCATTTCTACTTTCTCCTAGCTGTGGTGTTAATTGGGACTGGTTGTCATCTGTACGCAAGGGAGATTGACCTCTGGGATTGAAGTCAGCGTCCAGGGGTGATGGACTTCTGGGTGGCACTTCAGCTTCCTGAGGCAGAGGGGGTGGGGGTCGCCTTGGAGCAACATTATTAGCAGCAGCTGAAGCTGGTGGCTCAGTGGACTGAGAATTTTCTGGTTGGGGTCTGGGAAGGTTTCTGGGAATCGCCATGTAGTCATTTTCTTTGCGCTGCATAAAAAAGAAAACATGATTGAAATCACCATGAAGCTTTTTACACTTGGAACCCTTTGAATCTTTAACCCATTATAAAAAATAGCAAACATAAAAAAAAAATTGATGAAAACAATAATTCTTTGTATGAAATATTACATCTTGTTAAAAACTTAGTGTGATCAGTTCCTATCTTACCCCAATCAAGTGTAGTTCACGTAGCTTCAAGTTCAGGGCATCACACCATGCAAACATCTCATTTCTAAAATTAGAGCAAGCAACAGGTTATAAATCTGAAACAAATGTCAATGCATGTTTATCAATACATAGCCCAAGTTTATACTTGTGGAAAATTCATATGATCTAGCCATCATGAATCTTAAAACCTGGACTTGTGGAAGTAAAATATTCAAACAAAGACAAATTCCATTTAATTAACAGCCAAATCAATGTCACTTAGTCTGATATATATATATATATATCTCATTTCTTAGTACTGTATGAATTTTTATGGGTGATAATCAGGGTGATAATCTGACATTTGCCTAATTGGCTGGCACTGAAATCTATTTTTCCTGGTCCTAATTATACATAATCCCTGCTTGAGTGGAGTATTTGACTATAATGAAGTATTTCAGAATAACATGTTTTATGTACAGTTTATTGAGTAAATAGTCCCATCTCTTCCATGCCATGTGTTGGAGAGCAAGAAACTGTCACCATTGTTTCAAAGGCCACAAAAGCCAACCTATGGCATAGAGAACCAGTGGGAGGAAAACAGGGAATGTAGCACAAAAACAAACTGCCACCACATCCTCTTAAAAATGAACTCCGCACACATGCTTCAATTTAACAGCTTCCTTTTTTGTCTGTGGAATAGTTGGTTAGGAATTCATTTAAATCACCTTGTGTATCATATTGTTGTCAGGCCAGTTAAAAAATCATGTGGCCCACTTAGTTCACTCGCTAGGTCAGAAACGAAATATGATACAGCACAATCACAATATTTCTTTTGCTCTCATCTATTTTTTTACTTAATAGAATCAGCTCTGCCCAAAATAAATTCCAAGTACTGCTTTGGAAAAAGAAACTAACCACTTGAAAAAGAAAATCCAACAACAAAATTACTTACCTTGAATCAGCCACTAAGGTAACAACCCTGTCTTGCAGACCAATATGGAACTCAAAGTCATATTTCTGCCCCTGCATAGTATAGGTGATGTGTTTGATGTTCTGTAGGTTCACCACAGCACATGGGGTGCCTCTGAATATCTCTGACTGTGTGTCAAAGTACTCCAGGTAAGCATCTTCTCCATTGAGAACTCCGAAAACAACCCATTTCTTGTCCCAGCTCTGAAAACAAATACTACCATCTTCATTTTTATTTTTAAGTAAACAATCACATTATCAAGATATTATATTAAAAAGCATTACATAAAATAATATTGCACTACATTATAATGCTATTAAATTTATGAGATAGAGCTTTTAGAACTTAAGAATTTAGAATAAAAATGCATTATACATGTAAGAGACCATTCCCAGAGATATCATACTAACTTTGGATCGATCCATCTCCGAGGAGATTCTCACTAAATTGCTATCAATTTTATGTCTGTCACACCTATTAAAGCTGATAGGGAGTAATTAACTACAGGAGGCCAAGCGTGCATGAAAATTTATTACCCCCTAGCTGATTCAAAAGGCATGCCAGACATTTAAGCTGCTTAAGTTGATAGCATGGATCCCCTGGAGTTAGTCCTGTTGGATCGATCTAGGCATGTGAACCCAGTCTTAGACACTATGACTAGTATGTATATTAAAAAAAAACTTTAACATTCACTTAAAAATACATTTCTATGCCGATCCCAACAATGTTAGGATGGCAATAGCTAAAAACTGAATACTGTAATGATGGCTCCCTCCCACACATTTATTCAGTCACGACAACAGAGACCATCTCTGTTATAAATAAATAAATAAAAAAAAAAAAAAAAAAGATCTCAAGTGAAAGTCACAGTGCATTTCTCATGGGATGTATGTAACCATTACCACATCAAAAAGGTCCATCTGCATGATTCAATTTACTAAAGAGCAATGCAACATGCATTCTAAAAGCTTTCAGGTTGAAGAAGTACCATTAAAATTACATGCTAATGTCGAGAAAAATGTTTTAACACGACATCTTAAAAAAATCCTCGTGAATTATCTATTGATTTTATGTGCATGTTTGAAATGAAAGGGCATCAAATGCATTACAGCAAAATAATGAAAAACAAATTAAAAGAAAATGGGGAAGTACAATACAAATTAATAGCACCAAAAACAATTATTATTCATTTTTAAAGACATAAGAAATATAAACATAAAAGCCGATGTTCGTCTGGCATTTTAAAATACCTTTTTTATAAAATAATATCACTGATGGATAATGACAATGAATCCTTTAAATGTCACTACTATAAACTAGAGGAATGTACTAGTAACTATCAAAAGTTCATTTGAATGAGAATTATTTGACAGACGAAAGTCTCAGAAAATCAAGGGAGATTTTGTTGGATTTGGAGGAGAGTGTGGTCAAAATAATGGCAGACTAATGATTGCAGTGTGGCTATGAATAAAAACTGACAAAATTCAGCCACAGATAATTTCCAAGTGTGATCTCTTGAGTTCCGTCAAATTACATATGAGTGCAAATTTGGCATGTTTTGCATAGAACTTTTGAATATTTTTTTTTAAACAACATTCTCCCAGCACAGATAATGTTGCAGATTATCATATGTCTTTTGTCTTTAGTCTCACATGACATCATGTACTGCAAATATGCTCCTTTAAGGCCCCTTTCAGAATAGGAAAGGTCACAATAGCTACTGTGCACTAACTTCACTGGGACTCCCCCCTAATGCAATCAGGTTAACATGCCTCCTCTTGTTTTTAGTGGACTCATTGCATTCAGCGAGAGTTCCCATGGAGTAAGTGTGCATCAGCTATTGCAACCTAACTCATTCTCAATGGAGCTATAAGACTTTATCTCAGATGATTTCCATTTCCAATATACTTTCTGCTGCATTACATGTGGCTATGTAACCAATGAATGCAAGGTGTCACAACTAACACAATCCTTATAATGAAATCAACTACAGCAACATTAGAGAGTTTCCGGTGCAGTTGGGATACGACTGCTAGATTGTTATGTACGTATGTGCAAAGACCAAATGTATCCAGTAACGCGCTTCTCTCTTCACGTTCTAGTTAAGTCCCGGAATGCTGGCGCTTCCCGCCATAGGTGGCGCTCATTCCAATATAATAACAATATACGGCCCCATAGCCATCTATTTCCAAGGGAGAGATTCTTTTTTATGAAAAAGGAGACAAATATTACCCAAAAGTGCAATTTTTCCCGACAAAAATGGCGGTTAGTAAGAACCCCACGATCAACCCCCGTCTACGTGCCTGATAAACCAAAACTAGTGACTCCTCTGTCTTAAAAAGTCGAAATTTGCATGAATGTACACTTGAACTATTGTAAAAAAGTATATAAGGCATATAAATTAGCAAACATAACCTTTAATAACTATTTTCAATAATCTTCCGCACTGGCTAGATAGGAGCGCTTGTATTCTGCAGACTAGATAGGACGACAGTATATGAACGCGGTAAACATCACAAGTGCGCACAAACCGATGACGTATTAATCTAGCCAGCGTATCTCACCGGCAACGGAAACTCTCTATTACCTTGATGAGTGGCAGTTTACTAGAAGTTGGTGCCTTCCTCAGGTAGCCCTGCTTGATGATCACCTTGTTCAGGCTGCGACGGTGAGACCCAGTGCTCTGTGCCATCCCACGGCTGGGAGGGGTGCTTCATCTAACAGCCTGGAAAAAAATTTTAAAGTTTCATTTTTTGTTTTACAAAGGTTTCTTTCACATAGGTTTCTTCGAAAAAAAAAACAAAAAAAACAAGCTTGCTGCAAGTACATGGTGGTAGATGATTAATTGCCAGTCATAGAATGTTTACCTGCTCGAAGAGAGATATTTCACCCTTCACAGGCAATAGCTTTGATGTATGTGAATCCAAGGCAAGGAAGTGCCACAGTAATGCTACTTGGGTTTCAAGTTTTTAGTGTTAACTTTTGCATTTAGTCCTGTTGTAAAAGATATCGTATTTGTCATGAAAATGATAAATAAAACATTTCTGACAGAGAAAATTGATGGTGATATATGAGAGGTAAATTAGTTGGCCATACTACAAGTAAATTAGGTATAGGGGATTGTTAAGGTCATGGACCACTGAGTCTAACTGGGACGTCACTGTACAGGTACTTGGTCAATACAGTGAGTACTGTTACTGAGGTGATGCCCACACAGACATATCATTCAATATAATCTGTGACCCTATTTTCAAAGTTATGCTTTTTAAAGCCACGTCCATCTGAAATAGATTATTGGGTCAATAGATTTCCCTGGCACAACCTTCATCTTTGCAGTCCAAAACAATAATATATTGACAAATGTGCATTGATAAAGCAGTGTTCCCTAAAAACTTTGGACACCTGTCTGACATTATGTTTGACATAAAATATCCCTATGTCTGACATTTTTTGATCATGTCAGACATTTGAAAAATATATCATTTTTCATGGTTTAATTATAAAGACAAGTCCGATAACAACAGCAGCACAAAAGAGTGGCTACATCAGGTACACTGTGAAATAGTGGCCTCATTTTTCAGCATGTCATAGTGTGTGACTTAAGCTTTTCAGCTCTCTGACCATTCAGATCACCAATTGCTTACAATTACTTGTCTGACTTAAAATTCACTGGCCCGAAAAAAAAAAAAAAAAAAAAATCAAACAGACTGGACATTTACCTCTATTACATCAATACTAGTAAAACTGTGTCTGTTCTATATCGAAATGTGCTCACCCTTCAACTGTGTGGCTTCTAAACTGGCCTGAACTGGTTCAGCAGTGGTAAGCTAAACCTGTAGTAGTGGGGAATACATATCGGTGTCATTTTTTACCACAGGATTGACTTGTTTGGGAGAATTTGATTTAGGGTCCAAGCGTGGATATTCTATTTTAGTTCAAAACAATGAAGTAAGTTGCAGTAAGCTCTGAATTTGCTTTTGAAAGTAAATTTAAAAATTAATAAAAAAAGTTGTGCTTAATCCCAGAATTTCACAAGGAGGATAGAAAATGCTTGTTAGGGCAAGACTAGTATCAATGCATATTCTAATTTTTCGCGCTGGAGCAATTCGTGCAGTGACAAAAAGCATTGGCAACTGGGCCAGGACTTAGTATTTTAGATGCTCTGCCATTTGATAGTACGGACATTGTGACTGACATGCTGATGTTTCACGTTGGACATTTTCAATTTATGACAGACATATACGGCTGTCCGACGGTTTTTCGGGAACACTGATAAAGTGACCACATTCACTGGATGGCATCAAAACATAAAAACACTATATGATGAAAGTATGGCAGTATGCTTCCTTATGAAATATAGAAAATTCAAGTGAAAATAGTACCAAAATATTGCCAAAAATCAGTACCTTGTTTTCAAAAGCATCCAGGAGCAAAAGGTGAGCAAAAAGACTGAGCCTTGACAAATAGCTGAATTGCTCTAGGTGATCAACAATTTACATGAGTTCGTACATGTAGTTCATATCAGGAAACATGAATATGACTGCTAACAAATCCATGAAATATATAGATGCTATACTTCAGAATGAAATAATCACATTAACAAATGCAAAAGGCCAAAAGTTTCAAACTAGTTTCTAGAACATATCGTAATTCTGCATTTTATATCACTGGAGGGGGGATTTTCCATCTACTTAAATCACCCGACTGAACAGAAGAGTATGAAATAGTTATGTTCGTCTCGGATAGTAACTCTTTGCCCCTAAAACTGACAGGGGTACATGTATGCGGGGTGGACAAATAAATGCAATATTTTGGTTTAGCCTTTGGGGAAGTGATGTTCGAACTTCCAAAAATTTGTGCAAATGATACTGTTACACATCTAAACCTTTACATATAAATTATTTAATGCATGAAAGAAGAACAAATATTTTATAATATTTACCATTGAATGTCCTGGTGCATAACTAGTCTATCAGTACATGTATATTTGCCACAACTTCCTTCCTTGTGTTATTTTACGAAACTGAGGCTCTTGAAAGGCACGTGACCACTAACAAGAGCCCGATGTGTATGGAAACTTTATAATTTTGACCCTGTGTAACGTTCGTTGAAATTCTCTCTCTAATAAAATCGTAAAAATTATCTTGATTGTAATATATAGTTATTGTGGCCCCAAGGTGTTAAGATATTACTCTGAATTTTTGAAGTGCACACTACTTTCATTAGAGCTGTACATACATATTTGTCTTGACCTAAAGTTGACCTAGTTAATCGACTTCACTTGAGCGCTCCCACGCCGCAATATAAAGCCTGGCTGCACATTGCATCATTGCTACGACCGTAACCAGCCAGCTGCAGGGGTATTTACAGTACGTTGCCGTCTATCGTATTCAATTTCTTAAAGAAGAACGGATTTCTTTAGCGCGGTATTTTTATTTTAAAAATGAAAGCAGTTTTGCATTGCAAATAATATATACCAGTACAGGTATAGTAGTAGTAGGGTAGTAACGTAGATATTGACATATTGTTACTAGTAAAGCGAGTGTGCACAAGTGATAGATGTAGACGTCTGCACGACAAGATCTTGCCGACGAAACGACTCTCGCGAGTCAGTACGCACAGTCCGTGTGGTCGATTACCTAAACGGATGAAATACCGTCTGTTGCAATGTACCGTACTAGTAGTCATTGATTTGGACTTTCACATGGCTCAATGATCTTAATATTACATGAAGATGAGCCTTAAGATTTTATTTTGCTAATTTGATATTTTATTTATAAATTTTTTCTTAAATGGCTCCACCTCTTAAAATCTGCATTCAGCAACTGGCTCACTATATAATGGTTAACTTTTTATGAAGTTGTTAATGGAAGCCATGCTTTTAGTTTTAACATTTTCAGGTTGTCATTATGCTTTCACGTGTATTTACCCAAGCCAGGCAGCTGGCGCAGTCCTCAGTGAGAACAGTCGCCACTGCAGCAGAACTTGGAAAGTTGGGAGAACCTTCCAAAAGGGTGTTTGAAAAGGAAGATAAGTACGGTGCACACAACTACCACCCACTTCCCGTGGCACTGTGCAAAGGAAAAGGTGGGTGATATGTTAGTTGTGACATTGTGGTAGGTGTGAAATTAGGATGTGTTAGATGCGATTAAGTATAATAAAGTAAATGCATATATTGTATGTGCCTGTGTCCATGGTGTTGCTGTCACAAGTGTGGCATTGTCAATATAGAGAGATAGCTAATAGCCTCCAACTATTATTGTAATTTTGCAAAAAAAAAAAAAAAAATTTCATTTGGCTGAAATAATTAATTTGGCTAAAAGTATTTTTTTTTTAGTTCTGCTAAAACCTCTCTAATTGTACCTTTGTCAAATGACTTGTTAATGTATTATTTGCATGATGTCAATGAATTAAGTGTTTCTCCTTTTTTGAAATCTGAGGGGGGATCCCTCCGATCGATTAAAAAATACTGATTTTAGAGTCCGGTAAGTAGGTTTTGGAGTCCGGCAAGTAGATTTTCAGACCTACTTGCCAACCTGGCAAGTGCCTCAAAAAAGTTTATTTCAAGCCCTGCTGAAATATAAGGGATGTATAGAAGGTATAGAATTCAACATTTGAATGACAGTGTGCCCCTATCATGAGAAATGCTATACCAAACTACCAGTAAGGCAAATGAAACCAGCTGTTTAATGTTTGGTGCAACAAAGACCAATTTACAAAGCTTATGACATGTGAAAAGGAGCCCACTATCATTGCACTGGTCATATTTATAGAAAAAAGGCTATAATGTTGTAGGTTATGCTGGTCCGTAACATAACAGGAAGTTGTTATGTTGTAGCTTATTGTTTCATAAACAGCCTACATATGCTGATCTGTAACATAACACAAAGTTGTTATGTTGTAGCTTATTGTTTCATAAATAGCCCACATGTGCTGGCTCATAAAATACAAAAAATAATTTTTTGAAATACATTTGCAGTCAAGTTGGGATTAGCTTGTAAATCTTAAAATCATATCATAACATTATGTATTCCTACTTTGATTGTGTAGCATGTAGCCTGAGTCTTAAATAATTTCAAGATTAAAATCAATAAAAGGGTCAAGGAGCAGGGCAGTTCATTTTGATATTAGACAAAATATAATTTCAATCATATATGCTGTTGTATATCCTTTGTGATAATAATTATTTGTGATTATTCTTTAAATGTTCATCTTCATGCATGGTAAAAAGTATGATGTCCATTGATTCTTTTGATGTTATAAAATGATAATCAACTTTAGCTATCCGCCTTACATATCTTCCATAGTGTATAGAATTTCCATTATTCTGCATGGACAAGAGTAAAATTTAAGGGCGTATTCCCATAGATTTTAGATTGATCTATTCCCGTGGGGAGTCTTACTAGATTGATGTCAGATAATCCGGCTTAAATGTCTGTCCCGCCTCCTACAAGCTGTAAGGGGGTAATTAACTTTCGTGCCCACTCTGCTGACAGCTATTTAGCGTTAACCCCCAGGGAGTTAGGTCGATCTAGTTTGGATCGATCTAATCTCTGGGAATGGGGTCTNCTGCATGGACAAGAGTAAAACTTAAGGGCGTATTCCCATAGATTTTAGAAGTTTCTATCGCATCTGCTTGTTGCATTGTTGAGTATTCTGCAGACCAATTTAGTTTGGAATGGTTGACAGCAGTTCCAATTAAAGTCACATGTATTTCAAAACCATTCTTATCTTATGTATTGTAAACTGTGTAGTATTATTTATAATTTGTGCTAGGTGTCCATGTGTGGGATGTAGAAGGCAACCAATATTATGACTTCCTCAGTGCGTACAGTGCAGTGAACCAGGGACACTGTCACCCGAAGATTATAGAGGCTTTGAAGGGCCAGGCTGAGGTGCTGACACTTACTTCTAGGGCATTCTACAGCAATCTGCTGGGAGAATATGAAGAGTTCATGCACAATCTCTTTGGATATGACAAGGTCCTGCCTATGAATACAGGTAGGATTTTACTCCTAATCCCCCGAATGTATAGAAATGTTTCATTTAAAACAGACTAGGAACCTGAATACTTTAGGAAAAAATAGCTTAATGTTTTTATAACTGTAAAATTTTGCATTTTTTTCAATCAATATTTTGGGGGATTGCGTATGTTTCAAGCAAGCCCACATAATTTTTTGAAGTAGTATTTTACTTTTTTTATCTCAGTCATAAGACAGATAAGTTTACAGTTGAACTGTGTCATATTTGATGTTTGGGTTTATATGGAGTCCATTTGCTTCAACTATAGCTTTATACAAGTTTTATAGGTTGAATGTTTATATGCCCTTTATTTAATAATACAGCCATGTAGGTTGTTATGCCAAGCACTGCATAAATACCACATAACTGGTTTCAGCCAAAGGTCAAATAAAAGGATTTTGTTGCGATTAAAAATTCAGATGAAATATTATCAGGATTCACATCACTGAAGTCCTTTGTTTTCCTGTCCTGAATGTGTTTCTAATGAGAATGCACATGAAACAAAAAATTATGCAAAATGCCCATATTTTAGTTAACTTTTTCAGAGACTTGAATTAAGAAATTAACACACAGTTTATGGGAGATAGTTGAGTGGTACATTAGCTTCATTTACTTTAAGGTTAGTTAGTGACGAATACCTAAAATTTTAATAAAGCAGGAGTCATTTAGCATGTGTTTTAATAGTATTTTTATGATAGGCATGGAATTTTAATAAAGTTGCTAGCAGGGTTCAGTTGAAGCACACTATAGTTAATTACCCCCTAGCTGCTCAAGGAGGGGTGTCATACAATTAAGCTGATTTAACTGATCGCTTTTTAGGGAAATCCCCTGCAGAGTTGGATCGACCAAGCTAGTATGTGTGAATCTAATTCTTGGAATTATTATTTTTTCTTTCTAGGTGTTGAGGGAGGAGAGACTGCCTGTAAGCTGGCCAGACGCTGGGGATATGATGTGAAAGGAATTCCAAAGAATGAGGCAAAGATTGTATTTGCTGCTGGCAATTTCTGGGGTCGAACTTTGGCTGCCATTTCTAGCTCTAGTGACCCAGATTGCTATGGAGGATTTGGTCCATTTATGCCAGGTTTTAGCACTATACCTTACAACGATGTCTCTGCATTACAAGTGAGTCCAACTATTTTCAATGTGTTAGGTGGTACATGATCACTGGTTATGTATTAATTTATTCGGCACTAGCACAAAACAATGGAGGCTATAACATAACATAACACAACATAACATAACATAACATAACATAACATAACATAACATTTGTACAATGAAACTAAAAGTTGCATAATGGGGAGTAATAGAAATAGAGCATTCTATGCATTGGGCAGAAGTTATCTCATGCTTAATCATCTCAAGAATTATTTGCAATGATTCTTCCCAATCTTAAACATTGTTTATTTCATCATTGTATGTATAAGGTTTGAAAATTTTTTTTTTTTCTAAAACTGGTTTGTGTATGCCTCAATAATCCTAAGATTATACGCAAAACAGCAGAAGTTTATGTATTTAAACACATTCCAATTGATTGACCAAGAAAAAGTAATCTTACACTAAACATGCTGTAAGAGAAAAACAAATTATGAATTGTGACTCTGCAATAATCTTCAGGCTGCCTTGAAGGACCCTAAAGTTTGTGCATTCATGGTGGAGCCTATCCAAGGGGAGGCAGGTGTTGTAGTTCCAGACCCTGGTTACCTTAAAGCCATCAGGGACACCTGCACTAAGAACAATGTACTTTGGATTGCTGATGAAGTACAGACAGGACTGGCTAGAACAGGAAGGCGAGTGTGCACAATATTATGTTGTGCTGTTTGTAATGGGCTGTCTTTTTTTGTTGTAGATACCCTGATAAGTTACTTTTCCCTTGAATCAAGGGCTTAGCTATCGATCTGTCCAGCCTTCATTTGGAGGGCCCTCTTCAAGCAGAGGGCTTACTGCTGGATGGTTTGTTAAAATTCTTACAGCTATGCGACTTGTTAAAATCTCCCCATTGGGTGTGGTAGACATAATGATAGCAACAAATAACCTTTGGTAATGGAAGATGGAAGTCATCTAGACATAAAATTTTATTGTTGATCCAAGTATGTTTGACTGTAATGTTTGAAGTGAAGGTGTATTACTATGTGAAAGGGGTCATTATCCTTATGAAAATTCATTTTGAAGCAAACAGATAATATTCTATAATTATATGTGGTGTTTTAATTTCAGGCGTTTGTGTGTGGACTATGAGGAAGTGAGACCAGATCTGGTCGTGCTGGGAAAAGCTCTGTCAGGAGGGGTATATCCAGTATGCGCAATCTTATAAATAATTTAAGAAGTACAGAAAATTTTTGATTATAAGAAGGGTTTTGAAACTGGATGTCTGTAATGTTTCATATGCAGATCAGGGAGGGTGGCGGTGTTATCATTCCCTTCTCCCTTTTTTTATCATATTTGGGAAATAGGCCCACTGATGGATGTTTATTATTTCAAACTACTTTGAGACTCCAAGAAAGGAAGGAAAGCCCACACTGTGGGGTAAGGCATGTTTTATCCCAGTGCTTATAGATGTTGTAAAATGCACCTAATTGTGTTTGTTAGTTGTGCCTGTACAGACAACCATCATAAAGTTATTTTGATTTGACGAAGACTTGAAGTTTTCAAGATTCAGGATTCTCTTTTTTACTTGTGCATGTGTATTGTATTATTTTTCTACCAGGTGTCAGCAGTGCTTGCAGATGATGAAGTAATGTTGACTATAAAGCCTGGAGAACATGGCTCCACCTATGGTGGTAATCCTGTGGCCTGTAAAATTGCCATGGCAGCTCTTCAGGTGATTCAACAGATACTTTCTTTTTTTTTTTCTTCATTTAATATTATAAAAGGTGTTTGCAAAGACAAATATAAAATGGGAATGATATAAAGCAAGGCATATAGAATAATTTTTTTCTGCTACATTACCAATTAAAGACAAGACATTTTCATTGTTAAGGTAAGCATTTGGTATTTCATTGTCAATGAAAACTACATCTCCTGGCTCACTACAGGTGTTAGAAGAAGAAAACTTAGCAGAGAATGCATTCAAGTTGGGAGAGGTCCTGAGAAATGAGTTGAGGAAATTGCCAACTGATGTTGTATCCATTGTTAGAGGGAAAGGCCTTCTTAATGCCATTGTCATTAATGAAAGTAAGTAAACGCTCTGCCATTAATTGTTGATGCTGGATTAAAAATATTTGCACTAATTTGCTTACACTATGTCTTAATAACTTATCATTATGCAGTGTATTTTGTATTCTCATCACTTCTTTATTTTTTTTCCTTAAAGATTTCGTTATGGGCTATTTATAGTTTCTGCTCTTCTTTACAGAATTTAGTGCATGGGATGTCTGTGTAAAGTTGCGTGATAATGGACTCCTTGCCAAGCCCACACATGGTGACATAATAAGGTTTGCTCCTCCTCTCATCATCAATGAAAAGCAAATTATGGAGTGTGCAGAGATCATCAGCAGCACCATCATGGACTTTGCCAAGACATTATAGAAACTTAAATATTTATATAAGAAAACATGGTTGTAGACATCTTGTCAGTTGTGTCTATTTAACTGCTTATCCTGCCACTTGCACAGAATCGATTTTATTTGGTGATTTTGTGAAAGTAATTTGTTCTCCCTGATTGTTGTTTGGTTAAATAATTTTTCATCTTGTGATTGATCATGCAGATGAAAAAATTCAAAAGATGGTGACAAACACAGGGAATGGAAAGCACAAGTATATTGGCTTTGTATATTAAAATCTGTAAAACCTTTTTTTTTTTTATTCAAGCTTTAGAGAAAAAATGATGCTGTAAAGAGAATCATCATTTTTTTGTCAGGAGTGTTTAGAGAATATGTAGTTTGATGTTCCCATAAAAAAGCAATGGGGTAAAAAGCAACGGGGTACTGTGCATTTGGTGGTTTGGGAGTATAGTATTATATGGCAGCTATATGTTTCAGATTGGGATTGGTGGAAATGTTAATGGAAAATATCACTCTATAGCTGAACATACAGCACTTTAGTTTTACAAAAAGTTTCTTGTTAAGGTCATAATACACTCGACCAAAAAAGATAAACATTAAATGGTTTTTCAGTAATTAAAAAGCTATGCAATGTAGTGGAAAAATCTTCAGTTTATTTTAAAAAAGTAAACAATGGTAGGTGCATTGCCCGTCAATATTTGGTTATAATAAGTATTTACCTTGGACATTGTTATTTTATAATTATTCAAAATGACAATGTTTCTTAACTTTTTAGGTCGAGTCTATATTCAAGCATCTAAGTAAATGATCCATGAAATGTTGTTATAAAAAAAGTAGCCAGTACAATTTTCTAAGTTCGCTTATTGTCAGACATGAAACTTGGATTTAAAAAATCTCAATTCAAAATGTTGTTATAAAGAAAGTAGCCAGTACAATTTTTTGCTAATTGTCAGACAAGAAACTTGGTTTTAAAATCTCTATAGACATTTTGTATTTATCAAGTTTTGATGATCTTCACAAATTCAGGAACTAGAATTAAATGAAAAATCTTGGAATTTGGGATTCTACAGAAAAAGCTCTGTCTGAACTTTATGAAATATTGAACTGATCACATCTTTTTAAAGTTGTGCTACATGTAGTCTATATTTTGCACATATAAACCTAATCTCACTTCAAATGTAGGACAAAAAGAAAAGTATTTTTATGATCTCTTTTTTGAAAGTTGGCCTCATATACATAGGGTAATTTTTTTTGTACATTGCATCAAACTGTTACTATCTTACCAGTGTAAGTTTAGTGACAAAAGTACAAAATGAGAAAAGGGTAAAAATGTACAAAATTATGTGAAATATCAAATATGAAATTGGAAAAGTTTAAAGGGCTGTCTCTGTTATTTTAGTCCCAAGTGACAGAAAATTCCTAGCTTCTAGTTCTTTAATGCAGAAAGGATTGATATACATTGACAGTTATTAAAAATAAGCATGTGCAATGTGATTGAACAAATAACGAAGATTTGTATTATTTTTATTTCTCTGAAAGTAAAAAAGTTCCATTTCTGTTTTAGTTTTACACTAGAAGAGACTTTGCAATTATTATACAGACACTGAATTGTTATATGAAACAAAATCACGAGGTAAAATTTGTTCAGTTTATGCAGTGCACTTAAATGTATCTCATAATTTCATAAAGCTTAATTACATTTATTTTTGAGGTAGCATTTATTTTTAAGGTATGTGTATACTTGAAACTAAAAATTATCTGAATTCCATCAAGGGAAATCTCATTGTTTACATAAACAATATGCCACTGGAACAAACTGCAATGTCAGTAAAATTCTGATCACAACAACATTTTAAATGAATAAAGTTTTACATTCATTTCTGGACTTGCGTTATTTAAGAATACAATATCGGTTTTAAAAAAATCTCTACTGAACAGCTATCAATACAAAGTAATGGTATGAAAATATTTCAGCTTGTGTTATCCTTTAATTATGGTCCAACTACTAAGCTTTTCTCGGCTATCAGCACTACTGCTTTAACACCCATTTCACAACAAAAATTTCTCCAATCCAGTGCCAGAAATTTTTCTTGTAGGGAAGTCTGATTTCATCATTCAGTAAATAGGCAAAATAATCCAAAGTTGTTTAATGACACATTGTAGTCAAGGGCTCATATCTTGTATATAAAAATTTTATTGCTAATGCTGGTACCACAGTTTCTGGTAGTACTGCTGTACACATCTTTTGTCGAATGGAGCAACTTCCTGGAAATTCAGTTTTGTTAAGGCTTGGATAGATTTGAATTGGGATGTACACACTGGTGAAAATACTGGCATGCTGTAGTGATGGTGGCAAATTTAAAACTGCCTGTGAAATCCATGCATTTTATGGTGTTTTAAAAATACATAGTGAAGGAATGAAAATTTGGAAAGGCCAAAGAATGTCTTAAAATTTACCCCAGCAGTACTCCTATAAGATCAAAGGACATTGCAGTCATTACTGAAATGCTGTAGAATAACCCCCAAGTAATGCATTCATGCAACATGTCATACATTTCCCAGCATATGTTGAATTCTATTTCGTATAAAAATATTGGTCCGTCTTAAATGAAATATGCTTGGGCATGCATACTCTGTTAGCTTGTGACATGCTGGTGCAGACAGCCTAAATAGACGAGATCTATTTGCTATCAAAATCAGTCAAAAACAAATGCAGTTTGTTGCTCTATTAGTAATACATCATTAGGCCACACTTTTTTAATTTTATGGATGACATCCTGCGCGCGCACCGATTTTCGTCNGTGCAATCTTATAAATAATTTAAGAAGTACAGAAAATTTTTGATTAAAAGAAAGGTTTTGAAACTGGATGTCTGTAATGTTTCATATGCAGATCAGGGAGGGTGGCGGTGTTATCATTCCCTTCTCCCTTTTTTTATCAAATTTGGGAAATAGGCCCACTGATGGATGTTTATTATTTCAAACTACTTTGAGACTCCAAGAAAGGAAGGAAAGCCCACACTGTGGGGTAAGGCATGTTTTATCCCAGTGCTTATAGATGTTGTAAAATGCACCTAATTGTGTTTGTTAGTTATGCCTGTACAGACAACCATCATAAAGTTATTTTGATTTGACGAAGACTTGAAGTTTTCAAGATTCAGGATTCTCTTTTTTACTTGTGCATGTGTATTGTATTATTTTTCTACCAGGTGTCAGCAGTGCTTGCAGATGATGAAGTAATGTTGACTATAAAGCCTGGAGAACATGGCTCCACCTATGGTGGAAATCCTGTGGCCTGTAAAATTGCCATGGCAGCTCTTCAGGTGATTCAGCAGATACTTTTTTTTTTCATTTAATATTATAAAAGGTGTTTGCAAAGACAAATATAAAATGGGAATGATATAAAGCAAGGCATATAGAATTATTTTTTTCTGCTACATTACCAATTAAAGACAAGACATTTTCATTGTTAAGGTAAGCATTTGGTATTTCATTGTCAATGAAAACTACATCTCCTGGCTCACTACAGGTGTTAGAAGAAGAAAACTTAGCAGAAAATGCATTCAAGTTGGGAGAAGTCCTGAGAAAGGAGTTGAGGAAATTGCCAACTGATGTTGTATCCATTGTTAGAGGAAAAGGCCTTCTTAATGCCATTGTCATTAATGAAAGTAAGTAAACGCTCTGCCATTAATTGTTGATGCTGGATTTAAAGTATTTGCACTAATTTGTTTACACTATGTCTTAATAACTTATCATTATGCAGTGTATTTTGTCTTCTCATCACTTCTTTATTTGTTTCTTTTTCCTTAAAGATTTCATTATGGGCTATTTATAGTTTCTGCTCTTTTTTTTTCAGAATTTAGTGCATGGGATGTCTGTGTAAAGTTGCGTGATAATGGACTCCTTGCCAAGCCCACACATGGTGACATAATAAGGTTTGCTCCTCCTCTCATCATCAATGAAAAACAAATTATTGAGTGTGCAGAGATCATCAGCAACACTATCATGGACTTTGCCAAGACATTATAAATACTTCAGTATTTATATAAGAAAACATGGTTGTAGACATGATGTCAGTTTTGTCCATTTAACTGCTTTTCCTGCCACTGGCACAAAATCAATTTTATTTGGTGATTTTGTGAAGGTAATTTGTTCTCCCTGATTGTTATTTGGTTAAATTTTTCATCTTGTGATTGATCATGCAGATGAAAAAATTCAAAAGATGGTGACAAACACAGGGAATGGAAAGCACAAGTATATTGGCTTTGTATATTAAAATCTGTAAAACCTTTCTTTTAATTCAAGCTTTAGAGAAAAAAATGATGCTGTAAAGAGAATCATCATTTTTTGGTCTGGAGTGTTTAGAGAATATGTAGTTTGATGTTCCCATAAAAAGCAATGGGGTAAAAAGCAACAGGGTACTGTGCATTTGGTGGTTTGGGAGTATGGTATTATATGGCAGCTATATGATGTTTCAGATTGGGATTGGTGGACATGTTAATGGAAAATATCACTTTATAGCTGAACATACAGCACTTAAGTTTTACAAAAAGTTTCTTGTTAAGGTCATAATACACTCGACCAAAAAAGATAAACATAAAATGGCTTTTCAGTAATTAAAAAGCTATGCAATGTAGTGGAAAAATCTTCAGTTTATTTTAAAAAAGTAAACAATGGTAGGTGCATTGTCCGTCAATATTTGGTTAAAATAAGTATTTACCTTGGACATTGTTATTTTATAATTATTCAAAATGACAATGTTTCTGAACTTTTTAGGTCGAGTCTATATTCAAACAACTAAGTAAATGATCCATGAAATGTTGTTATAAAAAAAGTAGCCAGTACAATTTTCTAAGTTCGCTTATTGTCAGAAATGAAACTTGGATTAAAAAATCTCGATTCAAAATGTTGTTATAAAGAAAGTAGCCAGTACAATTTTTTGCTTATTGTCAGACATGAAACTTGGTTTAAAAATCTCTATAGACATTTTGTATTTATCAAATTTTGATGATCTTCACAAATTCAGGAACTAGAATTAAATGAAAAATCTTGGAATTTGGGATTTTACAGAACTTTATGAAATATTGAACTGATCACATCTTTTTAAATTTGTGCTACATGTAGTATATATTTTGCACATATAAACCTAATCTCACTTCAAGTGTAGGACAAAAAGAAAAGACAAGTATTTTTATGATCTCTTTTTTGAAAGTAGGCCTCATATACATTGGGTAATTTTTTGTACATTGCATCAAACTGTAACTATCTTACCAGTGGAAGTTTAGTGACAAAAGTACAAAATGAGAATAGGGTAAAAATGTACAAAATTATGTGAAATATCAAATATGAAATTGGAAAAGTTTAAAGGGCTGTCTCTGTTATTTTAGTCCCAAGTGACAGAAAATTCCTAGCTTCTAGTTCTTTAATTCGGAAAGGATTGATATACATTGACAGTTATTTAAAATAAGCATTTGCAATATGATCGAACAAATAATGAAGATCTTTAATATTTTTATTTCTCTGAAAGAAAAAAAAGTTCCATTTCTATATCTAAGTTTTTACACTAGAAGAGACTTTGCAATTATTATACAGATATAACTGAATTGTTATATGAAACAAAATCACATGAGGTACAATTTGTTCAGCTTATGCAGTGCACTTAAATGTATCTCATAAAGCTTAATTACATTTATTTTTGAGGTAGCATTTATTTTTAAGGTATGTGTATACTTGAAACTAAAAATTATCTGAATTCCATCAAGGTAAATCTCATTGTTTACATAAACAATATGCCACTGGAACAAACTGCAATGTCAGTAAAATTCTGATCACAACATTTTTAATGAATAAAGTTTTACATTCATTTCTGGACTTGCGTTATTTAAGAATACAATATCCGTTTTAAAAAAATCTCTACTGAACAGCTATCAATACAAAGTAATGGTATGAAAATATTTCAGCTTGTGTTACCCTTTAATTATGGTCCAACTACTAAGCTTTTCTCGGCTATCAGCACTGCTTTAACACCCATTTCACAACAAAAATTTCTCCAATCCAGTGCCAGAAAATTTTCTTGTAGGGCTTAAGTCCGATTTCATAATTCAGTAAATAAGCAAAATAATGCCAAATTGTTTAATGACACATTATAGTCATGGGCTCATATCTCGTGTATAAAAATTTTATTGCAAATACTGGTACCAGAGTTTCTGGTAGTACTTCTGTACACATCGCCTGTCGAATGGTGCAACTTCCTGGAAATTCAGTTTGTTAAGGCTTGGATAGATTTGAATTGGGATGTACAAATTGGTGAAAATACTGGCATGCTCTAGTGATGGTGACAAATTTAAAACTGCCTGTGAAATCCATGCATTTTATGGTGTTTTATAAATTCATAGTGAAGGAATGAAAATTTGGAATGGACATAAAGAATGTCTTAAAAGTCACCCTAGCAGTACTCCTATAAGATCAAAGGACAAAGTAGTCATTACTGAAATGCTGTGGAATAACCCCCAAGTAATGTATTCATGCAACATGTCATACATTTCCCAGCATATGTTGAATTCTATTTCGTATAAAAATATTGGTCCGTCTTAAATGAAATATGCTTGGGCATGCGTACTCTGTTAGCTTGTTACATGCTTGTGCAGACAGCCTAAATAGATGAGATCTATTTGCTATCAAAATCAGTCAAAAACAAATGCAGTTTGTTGCTCTATTAGTAATACATCATTATGCAATGGAGTTGGAAACTTTTATGGGCAATATATTGATTTTGTAACTATGTTACACACTACGAATCAAAGTTAATATAGCTCGCTGCGCACCAAACTTAGAATCAAGATGGCGAGAAGCATCCAATATTCTCCAATCCCTAAAGGCCCTGTCACACCTAAAGAACTCCCAAGGTATGCATGCATTGTGCATGAAAATAAGCCATATGTGCTGTTGTACGTCCAAGTTTTGACAGAATTGGCCAGAAAAGTGCAAGATAATAGCAAATACATAGCATTTTGTTGGCATATTTTGCATATAAAGGGTGCATGAAGATTAAATATAGAACACACGTGTAAGAAAAATCCATTGAATGCACAATGGGTTTTTGGCACAGGGAACAAATGACCTGCGCATTCAGCATGCTATAATCGAACAGATAGCGTTCCTTAGTCAGCAGTGATCATGTAGCTTGTTCTCTATATAAAAGCTGCAGATTTATATCAAAAGAAACCAGTGAAGTTCAGGATGCCTCCCAAAGGAAGGGGTCATAAAGGCAGAGGTCGTGGTGCTAGAGGAGAGGTGCCCAGACTGGAGCCAGAATCTGAGATGGAGCAAGCAGGTGTAAGAGATAAACAGGTTCTAAGTCAGCCTGGATGGTGATTCAGAGCTGGACCAGGCTGGTGCAAGAGGTAGAGATACAGCAACTTCAAGTCTTGCGTCAACAGGCTTACCAACCCCTTCTCTTCCCTGTTTTCCTCTACGGTCTTTGGTTAAGAACAAGAATAAAAGGGCGCCATTGGGACGTGACTACAGGCTGTCTGAGGAGGAGTTGTTGATGATCACCTTCTTAGAGGCTAGCGACATGTTGTGGAACAAGAAGAGTTGTAATTACAGATGACTTGACATTAAAAAACACTGTGGCAAAAGCAGGCAGAAACTATGTCGAGAGAAGTATCTCACCTCAAAGGATGGTTCAAAAGCATGCATATGAGAGACAACTTCACATGCTTGGACAAAATGCCCAAATCTGCATCTGGCCATTGGTTCACACAGAGAGGAAGCTTTGGACTCAACGGAATTTCCTATTCCTTCAAAAGATCACCTACCACAAACCAGATCCAATCAAGAGTGAGTACAGCTCTGTAATATTAATGCTAATTTTTGTGTAGACATAATTAGAAAAGGTGTTGAAAATGGTAAGGTGATGTGGTTATTACTTATTTTAATGAATATAAAGACAAGAATATGTACAATGAAGTGAGTCAGATTTTTCTGACAAAAATGTAACCAAATAACTATAAATACATTTTTCACATATAAATACTTAGAACAAGGGAGTGGTACCCTGAGAGTCAAAGCAACGTAAAAGCTACCTTGTGATGGTGTCGCTTTTACTAGCTCTGACGAACAGCGACAATCTGAAGGCGTTCTTCTTCAAAATTCTGCCTGGGGCGCTTCCATATTTGGAAGTCACACGTCACAGCTGTGTCCGCCTGGATCCATATTTGGAAGTCATAAGTCTCGTACGTCACAGGTTTGACCGCCTGGAGCTGCCTTTCCCGCCTCGCGCTGATGTTATCTCGTGCAGACGAGACAAGAAGCAAAGTGCCTGACGAAGTTTGAATTGAAAATATCTTGCAGTCGAAGGTCAGTGCCACAAAAGAAGCAACATTCTGCTTTAAAAACTGATTTTGGCGTAGCCATTGCGCAGCCCTTATAGTGGTATCGGGCATACAGTGTAGCTGTCAAATTTGGCACACGGCAAGCACGTGTATTGCGCACGTGTACATCTCAGGACTAAATGTTCTTTGATAAGCTAAAAATACAAAAACATTGGATATATCTTTTCTGTTCGAAGAATATTATTTATTTCTTCACTTTACATCTTAAATACAGCAAATAAAATTAAATAAAGCAGAATTAAATCTGTTTTACGTTTCATTTTGGTCCGATGACATTCAACTGCAGATTCACTGCGGAGCAGTTCTATTTGATTGACGGAAGTGTAACATGGCCGCTGATCACTAGAGCCGGTATTGTTGATATGGGTTATATATGAAATCAAGATCGAGCTGGCAATACCGGAATCTAGAACCTAGGGTAGGGAGTGGCAACCAGGAAGAAAGGGGAAACCAGGCATAGTAAATCTGGCCCTGAATAGAACTGAAGAGAATAATGGTGCTGAGAAGGAAATACAATCTGAAACAAAACTCAATCTGACCCAAGAATAAGCAGGTCATATATAATAACTAGCAAGGCTCACATGGAACGAGTTGTTGACAAAAGCATGGAATTGTAACTATGCTATGTTCCTGAGAGGCACATGTTCAACATAAATAGAAAATATTTTTAATACTTTAAAAATACTTTAATGAAAAAAGTGCCAACAAAATGCACCATGAAATGACCGATTTGTACATTTACTAATGAGACTGCCACAAAAAACATTCAAATGCGTTTCTGGCAGTAATGTTATCATGACCCTATCTTCAACACCATACAAAAATCCAGCTATAATGATTAACCCGACCGGGCCTGGAATGGATTTTCCATTAATTCCAGTGAACCAACATCGAATGGATGGAGAACACCATCCATATCCATAAACTGCATGGAAAAAACAAACAGACAAACAAACAAACAAATAATAATAATAAGGTTAACAATTCAAGTATTACACTTGGCAAGCTCTACAAAATGCAATGTTGTACAAATGGTTTCTAGCTTTAACACTACCACAATAAAAGAGTTTTCAGTTCTGGCATTTCTTATGGCTGCACTCATCAGAACCTACAGACTTTTAACCTTGACCATCTTTTACCTGTTCACATGGTGTCTCATTCTATATCATAAATTAACCAGTATGATAATCAATCATTCCTTTTCTTTGAATTATGTAATTACACTGCTGTTCCATCTATGTTACTTATGAGAGAACGTAACAATTCCAATGTCCAACTGGCATACCGATTTGCTTCCTCTTGTGTAAATCTCCGTGCATTGTAGCTCAGGTTGTATCTTAGTCTTCCTTGTAAAGAGTGAACAAAATGTACAACAGATTGTCCCTCTAGGAGATTTGCTGACCTAGCAACATCTGTCACCTGCACATGGTCCCCTGTCCCTAAAACAAAAGAAATATTTTCTTATAGCTTGTTATACATATGCAGTACTAATATCATACTCACGGCAGGTAAGGGCAGGGTGATTTTATAACATCAGACGCTCAGACTGGATGTTTTCCCCCCAGGGGCCTATGCTTATTTTGTATACTATTTTAGAGGCCCCTGATATCAAATGGTACTGATAACATGTCGATGATCATGCCTATAATACTATTATTTGAGTTTGAAGTTAGACTCAAATATTAAGGTAAAACAGAGTTACAGTTTGCCTGATTTCATCGTTGAACAGAATAATTGTACGCCAGGTGTAAGTTTACCTGGGCACTTAATCTCACTGACAGCGAGTCCACCCAACACTACTTTCTTACTGAGTAATAAATCCAGACTTAAAGCAAGGCATTAGACAGTCAGATATGCCTGATAAATTTCATATTTGTCCAATAAAAAACCTTGTATCGTCTGTCCTTATGTCAGATGAGTTTTCAAGTTAACTTGGTATGTGGAAATCTAAGGGATACATTTTCATTTCTTTTATTGGTGAGATATTTTAACTAACTTGTGGGATTAAAAATCATGGGGAGTTACCTGCTAATTATAGATAATTTATTCACCTCAGTTTCACTCTAAAAATACCGTTTTGTGACTGGCTGAGGATGGGGAATTCTTATATGACATTGTTGATGATATCCTAAAGAAAATGGCTGCATACCATGTGGGTACACATTTTTTGTGTTTTTACTGACTTGATGCTATGTTTCATCATAAATTGTGCACTACCTGGCAAATGGGAAAACAAAGTGAGGAAGAGAAATGGATTGACTGTTTAGGGAAAAGTGGAAAGAAGGTAGACCCTTGCTGTTTTACAATCCACAAGAGAGAAAACATGCTATGCACAGCATCAGGAATACCACATTGATACTCAACAGCAACAGAAATCTAACTTCTTTATTGCTAGTTCTGACTATTTCTGCACATCTGCTGTTCATGGCCATGAGTCAGCAAAATGGCACATGATGCCTCACATTTTTTTATCAAAAGAAAACATATTATGAAAAAATTCAGTCTCTCGCTGGACAGGCCCTATCATAACTTCAATTGGCTGAAAGGGACCACCTCACATGTTATTTCGCAATGCACATGTTATTGCCAAACAACAGGTGAAATCGTTTTCTGGTTAACAGACAATTTTATGGACAGACATTTAATATTACTGATTACCCTTTCTTCATTCTTGTACTGTATTTCTAGTGGTCCTAGTGTCATTCTGTGAAGCCATTTTCATTAAGTAATAATCAACTTATCTTGACAATATATATATATATATATATATATATATATATATATATTTATTTATCTTAAGATTGTTTCAAAATGTATGAAATATATGGAAATCTGATAACATCAAAAAATTGAATAATTTGCTACATTTCTGTAATTTTGCTTCAGTCTGACAAATTTTGTTTTGGCCTGACATAATTTTGAAGCTTGTCAGAACAAAATTGTCTGACAGTATTTTGGCCTTTCACAAAGTCTGAGATCAAAAAAGGTGTGCATTCTTTGCTCAAAGAGCATCTGAAACAAAAGTCTAGAAACATTGATTCCTATCAAAAAAGTGTATAAAATCTTCTTACCTGACAGAATTCCAGAACAATCCCCCATGTTTGAAATAGCAAAGCATCTTTGCTCCGCTGCTACAAAAAATAATATCAGAATATGCTTAAAATAGACAAACTGCCTATGTGCAAATATACTATGTGCAAATATAAATGTTCAGATGTCTCGAATAACTTAACATGCTGCTAAAATTTAAAATCACATGCCCACACCAAATTCCTTCGACAAAATATTATCAAATCAACATTGCACTACTAGAACATATACTATGAAAAATTGGTGTTGAGCTAAAGATCTGGAAAGATCCATCTTCCATACATTTCCTTCCTCGCTGTAAGATATAAAATCAGCATCTACATTATGCTTACATATTTTCATGTTGCTCCTCAGATCCTTAGCCTTCATTTTTTGTACAAAGTAATTTGCCAGACGTAGTTGCTTGAGCAAGTCACCATTTTCAAAAATTGTGTGCATCTGAGAACTCGTACTTCGTGCAGCATCCCAGAGAGATTTAGGATTGTCATTTGAGGGTGACAGTGTCACAGGAATTAGAGTTGATAAAAATAAGACACCCAATGCATTTTTCCCTTCCTCCGTCTCACAGAAACGTCGCATGTTGACAGTCTGCTCTACAGCTACTGTATTCTCCTGCAAAATATTTGTTGAAATAATCATTTTTGAGAAAATACTTTCAGTTAAATAGTTAAATTACTCCACATATCAAAATGCACATATTGTAAAAAGAACAATATCATACTCTGCTCATATACATATATATGAATAGTTTGTTTTCCATAGTTATTTATCACAGTGTGCAAAATAAGAAAACGAATTAAGTGATAAAGTCATTATGCTGAACTGTCATTAATTTTAGGAAACAAGTATTGATGCTATAACCTGAATATCGCCTTGAGGTTTGTTTCTGCCATATATCATCCAGGCAGTGGCTGTGCTTGCAGCTGCAGTGAATGCCCCATTGACTGTTGTCTGCTGTAATTTACACATTTTTCTCAAGAGCTTGGTTTCCTCCTTGGAGAGGCCATCTGTAGAGATGCTGAATGTATGTGATGGGTATGTATCAACAAGAGGGTATCTCACTGCAAAAATGTTTGGTTTCGGTTTAGAAAACATTGTGTTCCAAATAAACTTTCCCACTACTACATAATCCATCCAACCAAAGGCCTTTTCACTCTGAGGCATCAAATCTACAAGGGATGGGTCTATTTTAGTGTGTGGAGTTTTGTCTGGTTGTCCTCCATCAATGAGTCCATTCAGGATTTTTAGAAACTGCCTACATATACTCATATTAGTAAATCCATCAGTAAGTACATGATCAATACCAAAGATCACAGCATATGTGTAAGGGTTGCCCTCCTTTCTGGTGTCTCCCAAAGCTGACTCTCTGCAAACTGTTGGAAGGAAGCGCATCTTCCAGAGAGGGCCTGTTTTAAGGTTGTAGACCACCTTCATCATTTCATCTTGTTCTTTTCTCCAATCTGTCTCATTGCTGACTTCAAGGGGAACAGTCACAGTGTCCTTTAATTCAAAGAAATATTTTCCATCCATCTCTTTAACAACACACAGGCGTAGTAAAGGCATGGTTTCCTGTAGCAGTGCTGCAGCCTGGTGGATGAGGTCAACAGACAGAGGTGACTTTGATTCTAGCTGCCATGTATATGCAAGTGAATAGGGTATATTTAGTTCAGTCGTCAAGGCAAAAAAGTATTCTGTGAAGCCTAAAGGACGCCTACAACATGAGACGGTGGCCATGGATGCCATATTAGTTATACCCGTCAGTTAGTGCCTGAAACAGAAATAAAAAAACAACTCTTTACACTGGTGAATATAAAAACAGAAAACAGTGGTGGGATTTTGGCATGGGGGGTGGGGGGAAGGACTGTAGTGACTGGCTGGGGTAGACCCAGGCTTGATAGCTCGTCAGTGGTAGAGCACTTGCACTGTAAGCGTATTAACTCGGGTTCGATCCCCAGTCGAGTAAGGCATTTTCCTCCCAAATTGCTATGATGGTGGCAACAGTGGACTCCATCATTTGGCATTTGAGAGGGAGTGTAGTGACTGGCCAGGGTAGACCCGGGCTTAGAAGCTCAGCAGTAGAGCACTTGCATGAGATTTGAAGGGGGGAGGGGCAGTACTTTATCAGAAACAGGACGGTAAAGATAGGGTCATTGCATACGCAAGTTAAGGTTTGCCCAAAACCAGAAAAGAAATATTCAATTCATAAATTGGAATTCTTAGCTTTGAAATGGGCAGTTACAGAAAATTTTTTAGATTATTTACAAAGGTTAAGAAATTATTTTACAGTGAGAACAGACAACAACTCATTAACATGTGTACTGATATCTGCAAAGTTGGATTCAACAGGTTAACGCTGGATTGCAGACCTGTCAAACTACAATTTCAATATTGTTTATGTTTCAGACAAGTCCAATGTTAAAGCAGAAATTGAGCGCAGGAAATTACATCTGATTTTCAAATTCAGAAGCTATTGATTGAGGTCTTTCCTTGCTCAGAAGGCATGATCCCAAAGAAACTGTCTCCTATTCAGACAAATCAGCAGAAAGATTGGCAGAAGTTGCAAGAAGCAGATCCTATTGAAAAAAAATGTATGTAATCATTTAAAGGGTGATAAGAAGGTAATAAGAGGGAAAGATGTGGAAAGTAAAACTCTGGAAAAAAGTTGAAGCTTGTACAAGACGATCAAGTAATGGTTCAGTCACTAAACATTTACATAGTTTAACTTGAAGCCTTAAAATAAGATGCTTTGTATGATGAAATTGGTCATCTTTGAGAGACAGAGTTGTAGATCTCATAGAGCGTTTTCATTGGAATGAATGATAAAGCAAACGTCTAAGTACATAAATGGTTGCCCTAGGTGTATAAAACCTAAATTTGTAACCCAATGTCCATGCTGAATTGTGTCCTATATCATCTTCGGTTCCTTTAAAGTTAGTCAGTCTGTATGGACTATCTTACAATAATGGATGAAAAAGGTGGAATTGAATATATACTGGTGATAATGGATCATTTTACAAGATACCCGTAAGCATTCCCTACTTTTAATCAGACAGCCAGAACAACAGCTAAGGTATTATTTGAGAAATCAGTGGTGCCACCATGGTTTTCTTAGTAGAATTCACACAGACCAAGGCAAAGTAATGAGTGAAGGCAAAGTAATAAACGAGTTACATCAGTTAGCAGGGATTTAGAAATCCAGAACTACTCCTTACCATGCAATGGGCAATGTGACGTATGAATCATACATTGTTTGATATACTCTGTACGCCAAGTCCAAGTCAGAAAAAGATTTGGAAAAAACACACTGGTTCACTTGTGCATGTGTGCAACTGTACTTGAAACAGTTCAGGTAGTTTCTCTCCTTATTTATTGATGTTTAGTAGATATCCTAGGCTATACCTACATTTACTACAAGACTGTACTCTTGAAAGTGTACATGCCTTTACTTCACACTCACTGTATGTAGTTTAAAGCAGAAATTATGGGATTCTTATTGGTTGGCATATTAAGAAAGCACAGGCAGCAAAAGGCAGAAGAAACACTTTGATAGGAAATCAAGAGGGAACATGTTGTCAGTTGGAGAACAAGTGCTATTGCGCAATCTTGCTCTTGTTGGTAAGCATGAGCTTGCTGAACTTTGGAAAAATGAGGTGTTTATGGTCTTATTACAACCAAATAAAGAAATTCCAAAAATTAATATATACAGACAGCAAATTGTGTACAGGAAAAATAAAAACAGTACACAGAAACGAACTTTATTGCCAGTATATGCCTTGTTGTACTTAAAAGACAGTTTACCAGAAGAGCAACAAAAAGATACCGAATCATCATGCAAACCCAAGAGAAGTAGAAGAAAACCAGCTTGGTTAAAAGACAACAACAGGTTATTAAATTGACATAAAGAACAAGTATTTTATTTTAATATGTATAAATATTATACAATAAAAATTAATAAAGTGAAATAAATCGTAGTTCCTTTCTTGTTGTCCCAATTAAATGGCATGGAAACTTTGTTGTTAGCGGGGGAGGGCGTAGCATGTGTATGTGTTAGGTTGTGATGGTTGTGTGTATATGGTGGTGATTGTAGTGCAGTGTGTCTGTATCTCTGTCTCTCTCTCTCTCTATATATATAATACCAGTATGCCCCTTCTTTTTATACAGCAGCACATTGTTGCTCATGTGTGCCACGTCAACTTGCAGGTAAGGATTGACTTGACTAGTCTGCTTTTGCTTTTTAATTTTTCTTATTTATAAATGTTATTTTATTTTTTATTCTTCAGTGCTTTTAAGTAGTTTAATTCTTTTCCTATTTATGTTCTTCTTCGAGCTTAGTTTTTTTTTTCATAATAATTCTTTAAATTTATTAGTAGTTCTTTTAATTTTGTCTATTTCCTTGAATGTTACTTCTTCAATTTTTTTAGTTTTAGTTCATGTAATTCTTTCTATTAGTTGTTTGATATTATTTTGAGGCATTTGTTGCTCATGTGTGCCACGTCAAATTGCAGGGGTCTCGTAATACTTCAATGCTTGAAATGAAACGCCGTTGTATCATATTGTTTTTCCTCATATTGTACTTGCCTCAGTTTGTGAACTTACATGCTAACCATTTCCGCAGGTACAGGGGCCTTACCTGCGGTTAGGGTACCGCTAGCGTCTAAAGCCGCAAGGCAAATATTGCACGCAGATGAATTTAAAAACCAATAATAATGCTAATTCATGGGTAATGTCATGGTTTTGCCAAGCATGGGGAATCCGTTAAGGTGACCCTCTTACCAAATATCCAGTCTATTAAGTCGTTAATTTCTCAAACTGGGCATGAAAAGGGCCTATAGGGGCCTATATACATGTACGGTAGTCCTCAGTATGTATCTCACCGACGTGTAGATAACCTTACCTATCCCTGGTAACGTAAATGCCTGAGTTCGCTCCCTTTCGATATTCCTATGACCTCTAGATTTTATATTCTTGCTCTTTAGCAACTATATTGTATTTAAACATGTTTCAGACCATTTACAGAAGCTGCAGAATATATTTAGACAAAATGGACTGCAGTTAAGCTGAGATTTCGCCAGCTGTCCCATGACCTCCAAGTTTTTCCGCTAGAGGGCACTAAAGTTATACTTTAGGTCAAGGTCATTTTATAACGTGTTGGCCAACATGTTTAGGAGGAGTGCTAGAATACTGGGAGTTTTATCTAGAGCTCCTTTTGACACTGTTGGGGCACCATGTAAACAAGCTATACGAACAGTTTCAAGAAGACATACGGATACTATTTTGAGACAATTTAGCGTTTCTACAGTTGTTTTACAGAACTGGAAGAAGAAGGAAACGTAAGTAATATAACTCGCCAAGAAAAGAGTTTTGACAGTTAATGCCATTTATAAAGATAAGCTACACATTCGTTTTTGAAACTGCCCTTAAGTTATGTATTCTAGGTCTTCATATCCAAATTACCCCCACCCACCCCCACCTGTACATGCTACGGAAGAGGTACTTACCCTATGTTACAATCTCTGGATACTTAAATTAAATATTTACATCCTGGGGAAACTATATATGTCTTGTACCTGTATGTATATCATTCGTAAAGTCCTTTTGTATCGGCTCAAGAACCAGAATGAACTATTTCATCTTTACTCCAATAGGCAAGGAATATCCTTCTCAACATATGCAAAGAAAACTTAAACTTTGACGCAGAACTTAATTTTTATTCTGGAATCTTGGACATTATAAATCATTTATAATATTGGAAATAGTGTGAGATTTTATTGTAGGTCCTTAAAAGATTTGTACAAGATGTACAATGGCAATGCAAAGTCTTGATATTCAGTTTATTTTTTCACTAGACTTTGAAACCATTGAGTAAAGTTTTCCATCTTCACTAACACTCCATGTCTACATACCTCATTTCCTCTTTATTGTTCACCTTCACATGTTGCACAATACTGAAAACGGATTGATATTTTCTGCTGATGGAGACAAGTTCTGAGGAAATCTGCCTACATGCTAGTGCAATTTTCCCAGGATAATCCTTTAAATTCTCATCCATTATCCCTGTTCTTGATGGTACAGTTTCACATTATTGTTAGTATGGGTTCTGTTCTGTTTCCAGTATATAAAAAGNAATGTCATCTTCTCTGCACAAAACTGTATGTATGTCTTTTGAAGTGTCTTGTACCTGTATGTATATCATTCGTAAAGTCCTTTTGTATCGGCTCAAGAACCAGAATGTACTATTTCATCTTTACTCCAATAGGCAAGGAATATCCTTCTCAACATATGCAAAGAAAACTTAAACTTTGACGCAGAACTTAATTTTTATTCTGGAATCTTGGACATTATAAATCATTTATAATATTGGAAATAGTGTGAGATTTTATTGTAGGTCTTTAAAAGATTTGTACAAGATGTACAATGGCAATGCAAAGTCTTGATATTCAGTTTATTTTTCCACTAGACTTTGAAACCATTGAGTAAAGTTTTCCATCTTCACTAACACTCCATGTCTACATACCTCATTTCCTCTTTATTGTTCACCTTCACATGTTGCACAATACTGAAAACGGATTGATATTTTCTGCTGATGGAGACAAGTTCTGAGGAAATCTGCCTACATGCTAGTGCAATTTTCCCAGGTTAATCCTTTAAATTCTCATCCATTATCCCTGTTCTTGATGGTACAGTTTCACATTATTGTTAGTATGGGTTCTGTTCTGTTTCCAGTATATAAAAAGATTTTAAGGTGCCTCAAAAGAGTTAAGCAGCAGGTAAGCCACAGGGGCATTTTTTTCAAATTCTATGATAGGTACATTAACAGGTTTCCTCTTAATAAGAATGATTCTCAAAAACTATTTATAAATATCATAATCTTATCTACTTTTAGGGTGACCATCCATTTTGTTTTGCAAGATGGAACTAAAGAATCCGTCCAGGCAAATATTGGAGACAATTTGTTAGATGTGGTGTTAGATAATGATGTTGATATAGATGGGTTTGGTAAGTAACATAAGTGAATTTTAATTTAAATTCCCCTAAATTCAAGTAGTGAAAACAATGCATGGTGTAAAGAGAAATTTCCCAAATGTTAAATAAATACACCATGCTGATGAAATTTTTCATCGAAAATTTATATAATTTATTATTATCATTCATTCTTTTTAATGACAACAATTTGAAATGTGATATCAGGTGGGGAAAACCAGTGGAATGTGCATGACATAATATACCCTGCATATAAAAACTTTAATGTAATTTCAATCTCCCAAGTATATGTAGCTTCATATTTAATGTGTGTAGACATGCATTAGTGCATTATTCTATTGTGATTACGTAGACTGTGGTTGTAATCTTCTTGATCTAATGATTCAGGTGCCTGTGAAGGAACCCTGGCCTGCTCCACATGCCATTTAATTTTCAAGAAAGAGGATTATGATCAACTACCTGAGGAACCTACTGATGAAGAACTAGACATGCTGGACTTGGCGTATGGATTAACTGATACGTAAGTTTACACCTGCTTCAGGTATAGTATTAGTTCATTGCAATGAAAAATTAATGTTACAAAGTCAGACTTTTGTGAGGACTGTGGACCTGGGTATGCTGTGAGCATGATTAATTATGAAAAGAACAATTTTGGTAATTGAGATTTCGTGGGGGAAATTCCCCAAACAGCAACCTTATAAAATAAAAGGGATTTAAAGTGATTTCTTAAACCTTGGACGAGAATCTTCAAATCATTACTGATTATTACTTAGTTCTATGAAACATGTTTACCTACTGTCCAAACTTAAACCGAAATGCATTTCTATTTCAGATCAAGGCTAGGCTGCCAGGTTATAGTAACAAAGGACATGGATGGACTGGAAGTCAGCGTCCCTTCAGGGGTAGCAGATGCAAGGTCTTGATGATGTATTCTTTAATTAGGCACTAGTCAACACCTGCAGAATTGTCACATATATAAACCATGAATATTTATAGGACTCGTGTACATTGCTTTTAAGTGTATCTGACTACTTTGGCATAAAAGAAAAACATGTTTAAGAGAGCATTACTAAGGTTTCCTGACATGTAAATTGTCTTCTTATACAGTATTTATACTTGCATGCAATAAAGAGACACATTTTGGTCAACTCATGGTCAGGTAAAGATATGTCAATAGTAGGCCGAGGATAACCTAGGCTCCTCAGGGAGGGACACATTGGGAATCATTTGCTCCCAGGCAGGTCAGAAATATGACTTCCTTCAAATGGTATTGAAATACCTGTAATATACAGTTATTATGAAGGCTGACATTTCTTAAGCTTACTGTTTATCAACTCTGCTCAAAATGAGGATGTTATCTAGCCACAAAAACTTCCAGATTAAATTTTACCTCAGAATTATATATAGATGTATTGTAGAAGGTTTTATATGTAATGTATAATGTCCGATGTTAGTTGCACTGCAGAATGCAAATGTTTCTTATATTTATAACATGATAAAGAGACCAGTAGGCTAATGTAATAATACATCCTATTCTTTATTTGGATTCTGTAATATATTTTCTTTGTTTTCATTCATAATTATCAATATATACTGAACATGTCACAAGCAATAATATGGAACTTGTTAAATGTGATACTTAGATTAATGAGCATTATTTAATAAGACTTGATGGTAAGCTCGGAATGGTTAACATCTGACTGACTAATCCATGTAAACAGTCAAACATAAAATTTTACTTTCCTGGAAAAAGGACTAGGTTAAAAATTAAAGATGCCCTTATGATTGTTTTCTGTATTTAATCTTCACTTGGGAGTATGGAATGTAGTTAGTACAAACAGCATTCATTTGGTGGTTAGTTCTGTTAGGAATTGCTTTAATGTGAGTATAGAAAAAAATTGATGTGTTCAAGGCTAAAATTGTCCCATGTTAGATTTGATTTCTCATAGACTTAAAGATGTTTTAAAGTATAAAATAATTTATACTGAAACTTTAACTTGCTTGTTGTAATTGACAAAACTTGTCTGTATCCTAGTGCATAGTTTGGCACAAGGATATCACCAGTAACGAACCACAAAGCTTGCAAGCTTTTATTTTGTGATGTTTTCTTTGGTCTTGTTTTGCTCTGGTGTCTGATTTTGTGTGCCCTAAGAAAAGAGCAGTAGCATTATTAGGTACTATGGGACCATTCAGATTGAGGAGAGCTGAGTGCTAGTAAGGGCGCGACTTAAATATGGCAGAGCTACATGAAAGGAAGACCGCTAATCCTGTAATGGTCTCTCCGCCTCTCACACGCCTCCCCACGTCGTCCCTGTAGGGGCACAGTAATTAAATCTCGGCTCACTTCAACCATTTGAGGGACAACGCGTGGGGAGGCATGTGAGAGGCGGAGAGACCATTACAGGATTAGCGTTCTTCCTTTCATGTAGTTCTGCCATATTTAGGTGGTGGCTTTAATAGCACTTGGCTCTTCTCAATCTGAATAGACCCTAAGATGTTGTCAGAAAACAGTTTTCCTTTGTGATGATGTCATCTTTGGCCTTTGAATACATAGTGTATATTATAAACATAAATATGAAATATAGAGAAATCATTTTTAGCTCTACAAATTTGCCATCAACATCGAAATGTGAGGAATTGCAAAGCTGTGTCCAAAAATCATTCCAGGAAAATTTTTGTATAATGTAGGCAAGTGTTGCATATCTTTCATTTTTTTAGAATTTTTTAATTCAACAAACAGCATGAACGTACTTTTTCACTTGAAATTTATGTGATGCAGGATGCTTTAAAGCCTTAACAATATTTTCTGTGCAATTTGATATCCTACTGCTGACAGGTGAAGAGTAATGGGTCTTAAACAGCAAGTAGCTTCTGCATTAGCAGTTAAGCTGGATTAATGCTTGTTAAGAAGTATTAGAATGCTACCTACTTAACTGACAGCCTGCATTTACACCATGTGACAGCTGCAAGATTTGCCTACGTTTCCTGTTATCTTTCCTTTCACAGTGGAACACATAAAATGTCATAGCTTAGAAGACAAAACATCATATTAACAAATACATTAAGTGTTTAAAAAATTTTAACGATTTAAGTTCATGAACAAAAAATGAAATAAACTATGCATTCGAGGCACCTAAAGTGCAAGTGTTTTTGTGGGGGGAGAGGCAACAAACTCTCAATAGATTCTTTATGTATGATACATTTATTTTCTGTTAACAGCCAGGCATAAAAAGAAGGGCTTTAGCTTGTTTTCAGTATTATAACATGTTGACTTAATACATCATGTCTTGACAACCTTAATACTGCCAATTCCTTACTTATAGTCTTCTTTTAAAAGTAGGTTTCCACATTTTGCAGAAAAAGATATCTGTGTAGCAAGTATTCATCCGGTGCAACTCATTTGAAACAGTTACGCCCCATTTCCGTAGATTTTTAGTTCGATCTATCCCTGTGGGGAGTCTCACTAGATTACTGTCAGCTTGGCCGGCTTAAGCATCTGTCCCACCTACTAAAAGCTGTAAGGGGATAATTAACTATGGTGCCCGCTCGGCTGACTGCAATTTAGCGTGAACCCCCAGGGAGTTAGGTCGATCTAAAACTTAATCTTTAGATCGATCTAAATCTCTGGGAAAGCACCTTTACACTAAAGACTTTTGACTGAACTTTCTTTTTGCAGTAAGATTATTCATCACAAGTGACACTTTGAGGATATAATATCCAAAACAATTGTTTGAGTTTCATCAATAAGTTCCATCCACATTTTAGTATAGTTTTCTAATACAGTTTGGTATTATTTGACAAAATGTGAAACAATCCAAAACGGTACTTTACAAATAAACTCTAAGTGAACTAATGCAAAGTTAGTTTTTCAATCACCTCCCTTTCAATATTCCAATACGGTATTGTTTTTCCCCCCTTGCCTTTTTGCTATTAAATTCCAAAATTTCCCATACCCCATGGTTTCTAAGAGCCAATGATGTGTTTTCATTAGTCTGGTACTGTGGCCTGCCACATGAAGATTCTATTATACTTCAAATAAAGGACCAATAGCCTATTTCACATGGTAATAATTTGCTACATTGGGCAGGCAAAATATTGCAGTTACTTAAGCAATCAATACACAAGACTTCATCTAAATGTGAGTCAAATTCTTGATAGTTTTTGGCAAAGTGGTCAAAGAAGCTGGCATCTCATTGTATACACAATACATTAATTTCTGTTACGATATGTTATATATCCATCATTAAACTACCATTAAAGGCTACAAGGAAAATCTGTAGAACTTTTTTCTAGACTTTAATAAATGCTGTCAGTAGCATAGTACTGACACAAAATGAACAGAGTCACAAAAGGTTTCATGAAAATTGTGTAACATAAAAAAATCACTCATGAAATTATTTGTTCCAAACAAATTGGTATTGAACTTTCTTAAACATTTATTTCAATTTTTTTGGTAAAACCCAAACTTGTCTTTTATGTTAAATGGCCACAAATTATTCTCTTTTCTCTATTTGTATACATTTTGGTGGTTTTCCTTAATCTAATGACAGGGTATTTCTGTAAACTTCCAACCTTTCCCATATTCTTACTGAAATCTAATTTTCTATACATGATAACTATTGGTAGAACATGCCTCATTTTCTAGTGGCATATATAAACATAGCAAATGAACTAACATAGCAACTGACAATGGTATAGGCCTTCTTGACACAATATAAAGAGCAGCACAATGCTAATATGAATTCAAAAGAATATACAATTTTGTTATGTACAAACTTACACTGCAGCAAGGCAGAGAAAGTTCCCAAATTGAAATGAAATTTCTCAGCGATCTGCAACTGAATCTTTTTTTTCCAATGGGAACATAAATAACAAAACATACAAAACTAAAATGTACTACATATCTAAGCTTCTAGCATGATCACATTCTCTCATTCAGTTATGTGCTCCAATTTTTTGCACTTGGTGAGCATCATTTTATCTATTTTATACAAATATTTCTGTTCAATTAAACAGGATTTAGCTATAGAAATTAAGCTAAGCACAGTTCACATATCTGCCTCCCATGTTCATACTTGTATGTGTATGCATGTGATGATTTTTCTTCAAACAACCATATGACACAAAAATGCTACATTTGGGTTTGGTTTAAAATTTCACACTATCTCTCAAAATTGCATGTCTGATGAATAAGAGTTACTTTGTGTATGAAAGAAACTGCCAATAAGTACTAAAGCGTTATCTGTAGCACCACAAGGCAAAATTCTGCTTAGAAGTGCTCCATTAATTTTGAAATGCTTATATTAGATGTACTGGCAGCTTCATGTTGCTTGCGACTAATTAAGAAATGCTTTTCTGTAACATTAATGATGAACCATTTGAGTTTACATGTCCTTGGCACACCTAATACAACAAAGGTACACATCACCATGCAACAGGTTTTACTGTTCACTAATTACTGTTGAAGTCATGCATGTATACCACAGGTAACACTGTGTGACAACACAATGTGTTCAGCTATTCACAGCTATCGCAATCACAATCCACACACACACATACACCATTAGTTGATATTATGAGCATGCTACAGTAAGGAACACAGAATCACAGTGACCTATAACAGGTAACAGTAACAGAAATCTTTCAGAGTATCCTTGGCTCAAATTTTTGTAATTTTTGTTTAAGATTATGTTAAGTAAATGTGTCACTCCAAAGAACCAAGTTACATACTCGAATATTCAAAACATGACTGCAAGACAAACAGGTAGCTCGAGTTCTGAACTTGTTATTTTCAATCCAAAAGAAATACCCCCACTGTGGCAAAAAAGAAAAAGTTCATTCATCAACCAGTTTCATGAAGAACATGTCAGCCACCTTGGTTTTAAGAGCAGTCATGTTGACCTACTATAGTTCCGTTTTAGCAGTATGGGGCTGCAGTTGGCACAGCCAAGGACACATCTACACAATCCAAGCAGCATGTTACATACTGTACATTTATACTATAATATACACAGTGAGTCAATAATTTATACATCAAATGTAGTAAAGTGATGACAATATATATTGCAGTAACTTGGTTCATAACACCATGGCACACTCGGGGGGGCTCATAGACACATAGTGCAACACCTTAAAGGAAACTCCGACCCCTTTCTAAAGCACATCCTTTTCCAGTGAGCCCTCCTGATGCTACCTTACTCAATTCAGTGGGTGAATTTCCAATAAGATGCACTGTCAGACTCATACTCATACACACAGAGCTGGTTTGATAACAACATAATAAAGAGAAACCCTGGATCTGAGGTTACAGCAACAAATCTGTTTGGCGGTGGGGACTAACCAGTCCTGACACATAAAGCAAACTTGTTTAAATAGAACATGCTCACTGGGCCATAGGGTGAGCAACCATCTTGTTTCCCCCCTCTTATCCCTCTCTTTCTCTCATGTCACATCTCCGTGTATCCACTCTCCCTCATAAGCTATCCATGGTGAACTATTAACGGCATTCCCAGACTTTGATATACTGATCTACGCTCCCTGATATAACATAGGGAGCATTCCGATGGAAATCTGGAATAACAAGGAGTGTTCATGACAACATTTTCAGGGTTATGGTATGCTGGTTTGTGCTTTTGAAATCTTTATCAATGTGCTTATAATATTTGAAATGAACTGGTTATGATATCCACATGTGATCCTGGAATTAAAATTCATCTGATAAGTGCAAACCAAGACAGTTCTTTTGTCACTCACCTAAAGAGGTCACAAAATGTGAATGAGCATCCAGAGTTTTCTGGTTCCGTTTGTTTTTGATATCCCACACTCTGAGAGTTTTGTCATCAGAGGCACTGAGCAGGTACTTTCCTCCAGGATGGAAGACCAAACCTCGCACCCAGTTATCATGGCCAACCTAGAACAGATGAGTTTCCACTTTTTAGATACTCAGCTGACAAATATGCCATGTAAAACGTCTTTACCTTATTCGAAGGCATTCAATTTGTAAATTCATTTTACCAAAGACACAGCAGTGAAATGATAATTTTTTTTTTTTGCCAAATAACACGAATTAAACTTAATGCTCTACAAAATCTAGTTAATCTAATTTTAAGTGATGGAGGGAGTGGAGGGGGTCTGAAAAAGGTTGAACAATTTTGTTACATGCCATAGAGGTGAGTCAAGTGGTCTCTTCACTACATTTCTGATCTGCTGGCAGATTAAAGTAATGTTTATTGATCGAGACAAATTTATAGAGGCAAGTAGTTACTTACAAGGCTGAAGAGGCATATTCCAGCACTGATGTCCCACAACTTAATGGTCTTGTCCCTAGAGCCAGAAACGAGGAAGGGGCCGGCACGAGCACCCTTCTTTATCTGAAAAGTAATCAAAATTGTTTAATTTGAGAACTAAGAAGTAGTTGCTAACAGTACATTTGTTTGAAAATCTTAATACTTCTGTCCCAACAAGAGCACGCCTTGTATTTCTTCTAGCTTCTCTAGGAATTCTGTGACAAATAGATTGTAAGGAAACTATGTGTTTGATGTACTGCAATCATAAGAGTAGCCAACTTACATCATTTCCTGCAGCCTCAGTGATAGCAGGTGTAGAGGACTCTGGAGCCCAAGCAACACATTCCACAACGTGTTCGTGTTCTCGTAGTTCCACTTTGCACTCTCTTGTGGACACAACCCAGATACGAACAGTCTGGAATCAAAATACACGAAGAAACCCATGAATAAATAAATAAACAATAGAATCACATAACAATGAATATATTACTAAGATTCCACTTCAATTCAAACCAAATCAAAATGGGTGTGCAATGAAGGAACACAAGAAGATGTAGACTACAACATGACAGAGGTCATTCTGAACAGTGGACTAACAGATCTACAGATCAAATATGGCCGACCCACTGAAATACTTGTTGCATAATCCCCGCAGGGAATCTATTCAGTGTCTTATCAGAAATTAAGCAACAAGCATTCAAGTGGGTTGGCCATATTTGATCAGTGGATCTGTTAGTCTGCTGTTCTGAATGTGCTCAAAGAAGTTTTTTCCTTAGAAAAGTTTAAAACAACTGGTAGCTACTAAGAGACTGTTTTTACTGGAAAAACTATTCAATCACACACCTGATCATTGGAGCAACTGGCCAGTAGGGTTCCATCATGGTTGACTCTCACCATTCTCACCCACTCTCGGTGTCCTGTGAAGGTTTTCACACAATATCTGAAGTATAAGGAATATGTGTAAGTTACTGAAAATGTTAGAAATAATAAAAAAATGCATTCAATCATTTTTTTAAAATAGAGTATGCCATGTGTCTATACTAAATTTATCTTATTAACCAGGTTTCCAATCAATTTCTGAATTAGCATAAATATTTTTAAAGTCACCACAATGCACTGTGTAAGGAGTAATGGTCATAATGTTAAGTACCCTCAAAAGTTGCCTAACTGAAACCTGTTTTACTCTTTATTATATTAGTACACCCTGTACAATCCATGTTAAATTCTTTTGTGGTCACTCACCCTGTGGCGACTTCCCACATCTTTATAGATTTGTCTCGAGAAGACGACACAATGAAGTCTCCACTAGGAACGAAAGTTACACTAGAAACATTGTGGTCATGGCCTGTAAAGAAACACTAATTGTGAGTGGTTAGCACCAAATACTTTTCCTTCATATGATGATGGTAAGAGATTCAAGGATAAATGGGTCATTCAGAAATTTACATGTGCCATAATACAGTCAACTGATACATGCCAGGTGTTCAAGGCATATGTCCAGAGAGAGTGGCAGTGGATTAAATGACAAGCAGGCCAACAGAAAGTACACATTTCACTGAAAAATAAAACCCCTCAAACCAAATAAATTGTATATCAACACAATCAAATTACATCTCTAGGTATGTCATGATGTGACTAACATAATTTACCTTTCACAATCAATGCCTGCCATTTCCAACAGATGTATAACTTAATTTTGTAATAAAGTTACATCCATTTCATCTTACCGTGCATGGTCTTCACACATTCAAAGCTTGAAAAGTCCCATAGTTTGATGCTCATATCTGCAGAGCAGGACACTGTAAAAGAACAATGCATCAAACTGTAATGTTGCTGTCCCAATACATTCAAAATAGTTTATTCATGCCACATGGTAAAACCTTAGATGCTAGAATGAATGTGTGTAACTTCTAATTTAAACAAATACTTACTACTACGTCCAATTTTTGGAAACATCTGTAACACACGACTGCCATATCACTAAGTTCACAACAAAAAATGTTAAATTTTCACATGGTTTGTCAAATGTAATACAAACTTATCATTCAAGTTATGAAAGTATTCACCACATGGGTGGTTTCAAATCCAACACAAAATGACCTACCTAGCCATTTACCCGTGTGATCAAATGAAATGTCCTGTACTGAGTCTGTGTGACCTTTTAGGGTTCTCTCATAGTCACCAGTTTCATAGTCCCATACCTTGAATAAAGGCAGATCACATTAACTCTCCAATCAGCAAAAAAAAAAAATAAATAAATAAAATAAATAAATAAAAATTAAAAAAATAAAAAATAAACTTTATCAACTGCAAAACACTTAAATGAGATCCAAAGACATTCCAATGCTCATAAACATAGTACAGCACCTTACCTTAATACTAGCATCCTCACTGGATGATACCATGACACTGAAGACTGGGTGAAAGATGACTTTGGTAACTGGACTACGGTGTCCAGTGAGAGCATACTTCTCTGGTGGCCTTGGAATCCATTCTGTTGGACTGCGTTTATCACGTGGTGGGCCCCCAGCATTGAACTCTCTCTCTGCCTCTGAAAGCTTGGCCTCTAGGTCCATGACCTGACATAAAGATGTTTTATTCATTATCTTTACAAAAATTTTAATATGAAAAGGGGCTGCACAAAAAAATTACTCCTAGTGAAGCTTCATCAGATTGAAAAGTAGGATTTGGGCAAAAAATATTGTTTCCACAGATAGAAGGGTTAGGACATAGTATATATGTAAATGTACAACTAACATAACATAGAAAGAAACATAATAAGTACTTTTACCAAAACCCAAACAACAACTGACAATGCAGGTCAATGATGTAAACTTCCCCTGCCGGTGCACTTTTACTACACATGTATTCCAACTCATTGTGTTGGGCAACATAATGCCTTTGTCAACTGACAAAGGTTAGAGTAAACAACAAAATTGTTGACATTGAAAGCAAAGTACACAGGCTCCCCCGAAGTGTCTGGTTTCAACACCCGTGTACATTAGACTCCCTGTTGTGTAAACAGTGTTGCAAAAATGCTGCTGAGGGTGCCCCTTGACTGCTGCTGGATATAGGAGTCCTACCTTCTTCTGTAACCTTATAACTGACGTCCATTTCTTTTCTAATAATCCCATGTACTTCTTATCCAGCTCTCCATTCTGCAAAAGAATATATAAAAAAAACATGATCTAAACAGTCTTAACGCATTTGCATTTGTGTGAGCTTACATGAGAATTGTGAAACAAATACATGAGGTTAAAGATGTTACACAGGTTAAAATGTAACTATTTAATGAATGTTGATATATCATTATCACTCATACTCATCAAAGTTTTTCATCTTGGAAGGATAAGTGTCTACAACACAGCCCATCTTTTTACCCAAGTAACACTTTAATCATCATCATCTATATATTAAAATTGCAAACAATAATATGCACTGACCAAGACCACTTGATAAGAAAAGTTCTGTAAATGTTTATTAAGACGGGGCTAAGACCAAGGGAAAGTGATATAATGGAGCTCACCATTCCAGTTTCCTTCTGGAACTCATTGAGTGCATTCATGTACCCATTTGAACTCAGGTAGTCTGCTATAGCTTTGTTTCTGAAGCGAAAGAAATTAAGCACTGATTGAAAGCAATATCAAAAGGGTCACTCTGACATTAAAAAAAAATAATGTCATTATATTCAGTGTGGTGTATAACATTTGCATTTACATTGTTACAGTTAAAAATAGATTCCCAATAAATGATCTTTACACGATTCCTTGAGGTAACCTTTTGTTTATATTGATCTAATCAATAACTGAAGGGCCTGTTTGCTTCAGTTGGCAGTTTACCTATTCATTCCCTGTTAGTTCAAATAGAAAAGCTGAACTCAGGAGAAGATCTCTGGGAATTACAGTACAATATGTCAATATTAAATAAGGACCATGTTTGCTTGCCGGCAAAACAAATGGTTGGGGTTTTAAGAAGGCCATAGACCAGACCTTGAGAAGACATTAAAAGCAAGAATAAATAAGATGGGATCTCTAGAACTAGACAAACTGAAGATGAAATTTCAGGGCATACCCATTTGTTTTTGAAAACATTTTTTGAAAATTATAAGACCAATTATAAATCCAATTTAACATTAAATGAATTTGATTACTAGTATCGTACTGAAAATAATAGTTTATATGACCAAATGTTTTTCTGGCCAACATACTGGATAAAAAATGTCAATTTATAGCCATTTGCGTGATAAAAACAATATAAGCCCATGGCCTGATGTCATTACATTATAATGTTAATAAGCATATATTATTATAATACATTATAATATCAATAATACTTGAAATGCAAAAGGAATCTAATACATGTCACCTGACCCAAAATATGCTTTGGTCAGGATATTGTTCGATTTATCCATAAGTTTATTCAGGACCAGGTGTTCATTATTTCCTTTTGCTTAGTTTTGCAACCTCAGGCATTAATCCCTTCACTATATCCCTCATAATGTCACACAGAAGACACTGCATGTAATTTAACCTATTGATCTAGTTGTGGCGCCTGTGTATCCATGATGAAAACCGGCTACAAGTAGCAGACACTGATATTAACATAAATCAATAGTAACTACTTTAGACTGCATGAGAGATGACTGGTGCTGGTATGCTTTTAAACAGTGATCACGCTACCTACCATACATACCACACAGTGGAAGGTCTACACAATGACAAAAAAACATTCATTTATGAGTTTTATATATTAATGCAACATATATTGATACTGATCTTAGTATTTGCCTTTAATCTAATTTATGTTTTTACCACAATGATCACCTGACACAAGACGGGATATTATGAGCCATTGTAAATACTCATCTGTCAGACACAGAGCTTGCATATTTGATGAATAACATCAAATTACTTCATCTCTAAGAGAGAGAGGGCAACCATTTATCAGTAATCAATGAATGATGAATCACGAAAATGCTGCAGCAGACATGTATAAATTAACCTCTGTAGACGGTACAATACTGAATTCCATAATGCAATTTTATTCAGAGCAATATCTTTTTCCTGGGGTATTTAGTCAGAAAATGTTGCTAACCGATTACTGGTTGCATTATTAACAACAAAAAAAAAAAAAAAAAAAAGAAGAAGCTGGAACAATGATTCTCTACATGGCAACCAGTGTAACAACAACAGTCGGACTATACAAAAAATGTTATGCAGGGCAATTTAATGAAATGTAATATATGTGATGGTTGAAAACTTGACCCTGTACTTTGTCGCTTACATCAGCCTTTTGGGGTCAGGCGTGAGAGAGAGGGAGAAGTACAGGTAGTGTCATGCTGGTTATGAATCATGTGATATCATGTTCTCCAGAACCATTGAGCAACATTCAAACCTTCTTCAAAACTAAAACATGAAAATACCAATGACATAAATAAATAGAATTCCACCCTTCATATTCTCCATCACTGCAACAGTCAAGGCTACAAATGCAGAGGCAAAGATAAGGATGTGAAGACGCTGTCCCATGACTTTCATGTTGCACGTGGTAGGCCAGGGGGTAGCTACAGAGGATAAGAAGATATGGACCTGATATTATGAAATTCACTCTGACATATATCTAGATGACTCATCTTTCAGATAGTAAACTGCACACTGGGTTGAATTCCAAGGCAAGTGAGCAAGATATTTAACACCTCTTACCTTCATCACCAAGAAATGGGCAAAATTAATGTCTAAATATATATGACAACTTTCAAACTACACACAATGTAGTGCTGTTTGCAAAAATAAGTTTTGTCACAAATATCATGGGTCTCTGTAGCTTGAAAGTTCCATATCTCTGACAACACAAATCAACCAGAGCTTTGAAAACCCATGGGTCATTTACTGCAACAGCTTGTGAAGGCCAGTATGAAAGCAGTGCAATATGAGAACCCAAATATTTACACTGGTTGCATAACACTCTGAAATACATTATGTAAAACCTTTCCTTTGCAGAAACATGCCTTTATTTCTATTGAATGGCAAGTTGTGCTTGATCAATCTATATAAAAGACCTGGTCATATCTTAATTTATGTCACAGCAAATAAAATTGACGTGCCAGAGGTGATTGTAATATATACTTGGTTAGGTTCAAAGAGCAGACCTTGCACAAAATAAGACTTCCCATGTGGCAGTCCAGCATTAAAAAAAACAATGACAAGCCAATATGTGACAAAAACATACTGCATTATGATACTGAAGATTGCCCCATCAATGATAAAAAACATTAAAACAGAATGGGTTCAATTCTCTCTCCTAATGTATGCTAATGTTAGCTGTAAATATACATCAAAGTATGCTCTTAAACAAAGGAAGTCCATAAAACCCTTTGTTTTACCCATCAAACATATTTAACATAAAATGAAGCGATCCCCTATTTTAATCATATTTGACATTTACTGTAGTAGGGCATGAATGACTTTCATTAAAAGCCCTTTCTTACAAAATACCATACCGCCTCAATACTGAATGGATTCACAACACCAAACAAGTTAATTATGCATATTACATGTGCTGCTTAAAAAATTCCCTAAAAAACAAATGGATTCTACATACATCATTTTATAATTTTTCTTTCATTGGTCAACAGTATTCTAAGAAACCATAACTACATTGTGTTTGACTGACAATCATCACGTCATATGTTACTGATATATCATCAATATCTTTTAAAGAACCATAAAGGGAAAAGACAAATTTAAGAATGCAACTTGGCAATGTATCATGTTGGTTAGTGCTTTTAAAGACACCTAGGTATTTAACAACCGTGATGTACTGACCTTTCCTAGCATTTAGAATTTATCTGTAAAAGATCCAAAAAGATACTTACAGCTCTTCCTTTTGTCTATGTGACAGTACCATCTTCATGAGTAATAATTGGTGGGCTGATCCAAGAAATCCTGCTACTTTTATATCTTGAAGAAAGCTTGTCTAGTGCAAACAAGCAGTTCACTGGGTTGTGTAGAGTGGCTTCCAAGTAACGCCACCCTTTACAACCACATCATCCAGGGGCACAAAACCCAAAGGGATTCTGTAAAGGTAAAAAAAATGAAATGTTTAAAACCCTTTACAGATCTTTCAGCATACACCAATCACTTATTACACACATTTAGCCTCATGGCCTTTTTCTTTCTTATTCCTAGGATAGACTAAGCAAAATATTACTGTTTTAAAACTTAAATGGTACATAGACAACATCATTCCTATTCTGCTGCTCTTGCCCACAGCTTCATACAGAATCTTGTTTACTTGAATTTATATCATTCCATTATAAATTCAATTTCAAATACCATATGCTTATCTCATCAATATGTTTGAGGATGAAAATGTCTACTTTGGGTGCACTGTAAGCTGTGAAGGCAATATTAGCACATTACAGATTTTCCTTGTAAGTTTAAGCATTATTGTGTCTTATCAAAAAGTATCAAGTTGTAAGTAAACCATTGTTGTGTATATGAAATATACTGCTGTTGTCGTGGCTAATATTCATCATTATGATGAAATGCCAATAGATTTATCAATTTAAGAAGATGCAGCATACATTATCAAGTATAAACTAGGAACATATTAGTCAGGATCCATTCAAACTGAAAGTACCAAGCAACAATGAGCGCCAACAGCGTTTTGTTTGTGCTGACCAGAGTGTGGGGGATGTAAAGTTAACATAATGTTAAACATTAAATGGATTTCCACGTAAAATCCCCAAACTTCAAGTTCAATATTGCCGTCTGACAAGTCTTGGATCAGTGTAATAATAAAATAGTTTGGCCATTTATGTGGTGCCAAGTAACGCACAGCACGCATTTTTAGTCATAACAGGCAATCACCATCTATTTCTGTAACATTGCAAGATAAGTCATTTTCATCCTATTTAATTTATCATAACATTGCATGCCTAATTTGAAATTCAGACAAGATCGAGGTCGCCATTTTTTATTCAAGGCGTATTCAAATAGGACCTTTTTAAAGATCCGTTTTAGAGTATTTTTCACGAACAGATGACAATGTCACTCCAATATTGAATTGTGCTTACCTCCAATGACGAAAATAGCCAATGATATACCTCACGTACAGAGCTAAACACTGTTTTCTCTGAAATTTGCAGGAATTTCCAACACGTTGAGATTTTACCCACAATTCTCAAATCCTACCTGCGCAAGCGCACATAGAGTGTAAAAATTAGAGATTACTCGAGAACTAAGATGGCAGCCTCCATCGTTTGAAGCAGGGGGTGGAAACGCGCTACTTATATGATTAAGACGAGCCTGGCCGTCAGTACCGGATATTGTTTTGTGACCTTGAGGAGCAATTAGGTTTGGTCGTTGCGGCACGCATGAACAGTGGTTGAACTACCACACCTGGGTCTTTTGTTTTTGACAACTGTTCACTCGTCATCGAGGCGCTTGTTCAAGACTACAGGCTGATATCTACTAGTACTACCAGTGGCTTCATTAGTAACGTTCCCACAATACTTAGTTTTCTGTCTGTGCGTACATACCCTGAAAAAAGCCAGCCTCGCTGACGAGAACAATGGACGTTTCTCACCCCTCTCTAGGATTACCCCTGTTTGAAGTGCGTTGAGTTTGAAGCGACATTTAGTTACCCAAAGAGGGAGGTTCTAAGCAGAAAGTGACGTTTATGTTTAATTTAACACAAAAAGTATGGTTTTAGTTACGCTGGAAAACTGATAAGCATAAATTTTAAAAAGGTAACAACACACTTGTGTAAGAAGTGGTAATTTGCAGATATTCTGTACTACCCCGACTCAGATTGCTAGTTGCTAGAGGTGATTGAAGACGGTAGTTTTCTTTTAATTCAAACCAGTACTTTTCATCTCAGAATGTAAAATCCCAACCTCAATTCTGCATTAAAAGCAAGATTGCCAGTAGGACAAATGCGAAGTTATAATCCTTTTGGAAATATCAGATTTAGATAATTTTTAAATTTTATTTAAAATTAATGTAAAAAGTATAAAAGTTCTACTTTCGATTTTATGATTTTGATTTGACTGCAACATAGTTACTAGTAGGTATTATTTATTATTATCATTTTTATTCAAATAAATGTGTTCATTGAAATAACCTTCTCCGGATTATTTCAGTGAAATCTTAACTTATACAGCAAAGTTTAAAAGAAGCTAATTTTTTCTATTCCAGTATTTCTATATAAGAAAAGAGTAATGGCTTTGAATAAGTTTATGCACCCTAGAAACATTTATAAGAAGAAGAGACCAAACTTCAAAGAACTGGCCATTAAGTACCCAGACTTCCGAAGTGTTGTCACACAAGATCTTACAGGGAAGGTGATATTAGACTTCAAAAGCCCAGAGGCACTGAGAGCACTGACTTGCACACTGCTGAAAGACGATTTTGGTCTTGATGTTGAACTACCTCTTGACAGACTGATCCCAACTGTTCCATTGAGACTGAATTATATCTTGTGGATTCAGGATATTGTTGGGAAAAGAGAAGAAAATGTTATTGGTTTAGATATAGGTTTGTTATGATTGTTTTGTTATGTTTGGTAAATGAAGTCTATGCTTTTTTTAAGTTATAACAGAAAGTATTTTAGTTTTAAAAAAGATTTGTTACTTTTCCCAAAATAATTTTATAGAAATAATTGGCACTAAATTAATATATTTTTCAATTACGAGATAGATCTAAGGGGAAATAGCATTTATTTGTTAATTATTTTAAAAACATTATAAAACTGCTTTATATATTTTTATTTAAGGTGCTGGGGCTTCCTGTATATATCCACTGCTTGGCTGTAAATTATGTCCTACCTGGAAATTCATTTGTTCTGAAATAGAAGAAGAAAATATACATTTTGCAAAGAAAAATATAAATGGTAATGGTATGGAAGGCAGGATTGAGTGTAAGTATACAAATAACATATGTCAGGGAATTTTTCTCAAAGTTCTTTTTTTTTAATAGTCCTATGTGAACAAAGCAAGACATCTCTGTCTAGACAATTATTGTGCATGTAGACAAAGGTAATATTGATGGTCTTTTGTTGACAATCTTAAGTTATTCAAAATTTGTCTTAATTTACTCATTTCAGTTTGATTTTTTAATAAAGATAATATTCTAAAACGATTTTTAAGTGTCATTATTGCAGGCTATAAAATGCAATATTTTTGTTTCAAAACTATGACCTGAACTTAAAATATTATCAAGTTTTCATCATCTGTCAATAATTTTTTTTACTGTAATTTTCTCAAAATTAAACTTCTTTTAGTGGTTCAAACCAGTTCTACAGATGGGTTATTTGAGTTGTTGAATAACAGAAAAGAGAGCCTCGATTTCTGCATGTGCAATCCACCGTTCTATGCTGACTCCCTGGAGGCTCAGGGTATCAGCAACTGTAGAAACCTGGACAGACCAGAACCCAAGTCCATTAACACTGGCAATGAGCAGGAGTGTATTGTGAAGGGCGGAGAGTTTGAATACATCAAAAAGATGATAGGTGATAGTCTAAAGCTTAATAACAAAGTCAGGTTAGTATTGAATTGATGGAGACATTTGAAAAATTGGAAATAATGATTTTGAACAAGCCCACTTTTTGCATTGTGTCATTATTAATTATTGGTCATGTAATTTCCATATGTAAACAGTGGGATTTAAAATGTTTATTCATCCCTAGTTTGAAAATGTACTTAAATTATGCTTGAGATGACTGTACAATCTTGATGTCAATTTGGTTTTATCTTACAGGGTGTATACAACCATGGTGGGGAGAAAATCTGATCTAGGACGCCTTAGAGCTGAGTTAAAGAAAAACAATGTAAGCTTAGTAAAATGCATCCTGTCACCATAGTACTTGGTCACAGTGAATTACTTATGGAGGGTTACACTTTGTTTTCCTTATCATATTTAAGGTAAACTGAGATACAGTCATTTAAATTTGAGGATTGACTGGCTAATAAAATATACTAATAGTAAAATTGCCTTTGTAGTGTGATTTATAAAGATGTTCCTATCACCTTGCAGATCTCCAACATTGGTGAAACTGAGTTTTGCCAAGGAAGAACAATGAGGTGGGGGTTGGCCTGGACATTTGATGATACTGTGGTGTTTCCTGTAAGTTTAATATTGGGTTTATCCAAAATGATTAAATCCTTTTGTAACCAAAAGATTGATGTTATTCTTCCTATCAGTGTCACTTTTATTTATAGTTAATGACTTTTGGTGTAGAGTTGACATTTGTTGTGGATCCTGCATTTTTATATTGGATATCTTGGTTTTATCATCATCAGAAATCAGAATTCCAAGTTAAGAAGAAGAGTACTGGTGATAAGCCTCCTTTGACTCATATCATTCCTACGGGTGTCTGCAAGGAATACAATGTGCCCATGGCATGGGTCAAAATCAAGGGGATGTTGGATGAATTACAGGTAATGGGAAACCTGACAAAGTTCTACATACCTAGTTTAACTTACCTGTAGATATCAATGTATAGATATTGTGATGTCATTGGTGGCAAGGTTGAATAATAGCGGCCTCTATCTCTTGTTTTTCTCTCTGAGTGAGTTTGCTTCCATATTTCCCTTGCAAATTTCTAAAGTCTTTCAAACTTATTATTCATTTAGGTCCACCACAAAGGTGTGAAGGCCACTACCACAGAAATCACTTTAAATTTGACAGCCAAGGAAAACACCTGGTCCCATCAGAGAAAGAAAAAAAGACAGCAGATGAGAGCAAAACTGTTTGAGGAAAAAAGAAAGCATTATGAAAGTCCATCTAAGGACAGGCAAGTAGATGATCTTAGGGTTGTAGAGCACAATCAAAGTGAGGGCATGGAAGAACTTATGGAGGACAATCAAGAAGCTTTAGTTCGAAAAAGGAAATTAGAATTTGAAGATGAATACAGGAATGAGAAAGCAAGGAGAATGGATGATAATGATGTAGTGTCAAGTGGAAAAAGCCACATAAAGGGTCCTGAAAGTCTTGAGCCAGCTTCAGCTGAATATGATGCACAGCTCACAAATGCTCAACCTAGTAGTAGTAATAATCCTGACATGGGTATTTCCAGTGCTGTGAAAACTGAAAATAGACCGAATGAACTCGTGGGAAAAAGTGCTGAAACTGAAAGTACTGGGCCAAAAGAGGCAGTGCCTGTAACAGTTAATACTGCTAAGACAGAAGATAAGGATTTCTTGTTTAAAACCAAACTATCGATAAAACAAGTGCAAGAAGATGTAGTAATGGAATTGGTGTACATTGAAGGTCAGAGCAGAGAGTTAATGCATCAGTTTATGCAGTATTTCAAAAACAGATTGAAATGACATGACAGTTACAGTATGTAATAACCATCACAAGATGATGCTTTGATGTACCAAATACATAGGAAATATATATTTTTGATTCATGAATTTAGAATAAATGGACTTATCATTTGCAATGCAATTCTTCTACCATTCGTAATACATTTTAGAATTCCAAATTATTAAAAATATATATGCAATTTTACTAGTTTAATTTAAATTGCAAACGCAAAGGGGTTTACGCTGGAGTCAGTTTTATGGAGTCTGAATTTTTTCACCAACCTAATCAACGTGAAATGACCACATTTACAGCTGTGGTTTATCGTGCAGCCTTTGACTAATCCAGACAAGCTTTGTTTACTTGAAAGTGGTCTCAACTGAAAGTCTTCACATATCATGCCTTCTTCTAAAATTCAAATAGCAAATGACTCAACTGATGATTATTTCAATATTTTATTACTTAAAGGATTTGCAACCTCTCCACAAATGATAACAGCATGACCATGTGCAGTCTTTTTCTGGGCATTTTGATAAGGCCCAATTATCTACAAACACACAAACGAACCACAAGTGCTCTTGACATTCCACAAAAAACTTTCAATTCTCTTTAAACTGATTGGTTATTTATACTAGTCATCACCAGTTATCAGCAGTGGCAAAAATATACACATGCTTTTAGCTTGGAACTGGACTGAGTACATTGGAAATAAGTTTTTCTCATTTATATTGAGTTGACCACAAACTAATATGAGGAATTTGCAAGATGTGAACTTAAATTATCATCAATAGTGAACACATAAACAATCCACTTGTAACTACATTTCATTGCATATTGTTTGATATATAATCAAGTATTAAAGCAAATTTTGCAAATATATCCCACCTCTTGATTTAATATGCAATTCTGATCAACGACTGTAGTTTGTACCTTCCTCCAAGAAAGTTTTATGAAAATAACTGATTACTAGCACTGAATGCAAACAAAATTAAATTACACTGCATTTTCTCATGTTCAAAATTTAAATAGCCAATCAAATTCATGCACATTAAAATTTATGTATAATTAACATTTTGACAATTAAACAGTGTAATGAAACTAAGGGTGCAACAGACATGACATTTGTGCCAAAATTTGATGGCTAAATTAGACCAAAACCTGAGCCTTAAGTTAACAACTAGTAATTAATGGTAACACCTTTATGCTGCAGAATTTATCAATGACACTGCTGCCCCACCTAACAAGCAGAATTGACATTTCAAACTGAATTTTCAAAAAAATATCTTCTCGTCTGAAATTGTTTACTTTGCTAGGATATTGAGAAGACTAATATAAGTAAAACATTTACTTTGAAACCTTTGCTTTAAAGCATTTAAGTTCAAATGTGACATATAACCCATGTATTTATTGTTTGTGTGTGGAATGTTAACCTAGCCCCCCCCCCCCTTCCCCCAAATATATGTCAGGCATCTTTCAGCATTACCCTTCCCACTAATGCTCATCAGGGATAACTATATTTTTATCATTTTTAACAATTGTCAAAAAAAAAAATGTACTTTTCAAAAGTACATAAAAATACACCACTACTCCAACAACTAGAATGGCATTAACAAAACAATTTTGCATGCACAAGCAGTATTACACAACCTATATCATTTTCATAAAATAAAACTGCTAGGCTTAGGTTATTTGAATATCTTTCAACAATATTCTCTCCACACTTGGCACCCAAAGGTGCAGAAGCAAAAAAAAATATTGTCAAAAGAAGTCGGGGTAAAAGGAATGTGTTCAACTTTATTGTAACAACAACAATATTGTCACTAAGCCAGAGAACAAAAATTTATGTGGTAAAAAGAAGGAAACAGTATGTTAAACAACACAATAGGGATTCCCCAAAGCATTATTTATCTCACTAATCTTTTTTATTCACTAATCTTTAAGTGCCTATAAGTGCATTTCTTCAGCACATCTCTAAATGTCGTCAATTTAAATCACAAAACATGCATACAAGGGTCATACATTAGGAATTATCATTTTAACAAAGCAACACATGCAATCCTTACACAAATACATCATTTTACACATTTTACCAGTTTTAATATTTCAGTGCTACTGGCAAAGCCGGTAACAAACAACTGCTCTAAATTTGATTGGCAAGGTTATCTTTACAATATACATTTAAAGAGTAGTCAGATGGCTTTATTCACTGCATACTGGTGAATTTTCACAGTTGATTTAAATTACTCCTTTCTGGCAGCAATACTCACTTCACCAATCCTTTTTTTCATTTTATCAATCTTGCTTCAATGGCATAGATTTTCTCCTCAAGATGACAAGATGGGTTGTGAGATTCCTGCCAAGACTGATCAATCAATCTGTACCCAAACAATGGAAAGACGAATAGATTATTTGTCTCAAAGTAACTTTTCCCCCACAATAATATAATGATCATTAGCTGTCTACTGCATTGTTTTCTGTATGACTAGGAGCACTTCCATTCACCAAGACAGGTTGCTCTGTGGGTGCAGAGGTTGGGACACCGGATTTGAGATCGTCGCTGGGCTTCGACTTTGTTTCACTTGGCTGATCTCCATCTATTTCTTCTATTGTTGCTCTATTATTGGTATCAACCCCTCTAAGTTTTTCTACATCTTCTTTACTGTTAACAGAAAATACCAACAGAATGAAAGCTCAAGGAAAATGCACAAAAGACATACTATTTTCTGCAGCAATCAATATACAATGTTAAAATTCCATTCTATGAATAAATTATTTTGACATAAGCTTATTCTTAAGGGTTTAGCTAGAGTATTCTTGCAGTTCTTACAAACCAATTCACAAACAAAACAATCAAATACAACCTGATCCAGTATCTTACCTGAGTTGGACCCACTGTATCAGCTCAATACCATTTATTGCATTGAGAATTTGCAAAATATTCACCAAGGAAGGCACCTGAATCTGTAAATGGTAAAATATGTTGTTTTTTTTAACCAGATTACAAATTTGTGCTACTCATAAGCAGAATTTAGAAAATCTTTTAAAATCTTTATTGCAAATATCTTTAAGTGGTTACTCTAAATCTCATGCTGGGAAAATAACCATCAGTTGTGGTGTAGTCTTGACAAAAATCTTTTTAATACTATCTTTATATTACCTGTAAAGGAGGGAAGGAGACATTCTTTTCTCCCTTGTATATGTCATTGATTCTCCTCTGAAACTCTACAGCTTGTTCTGTCAAATGACGAAGGCATTCAGAGCTTTCCTGGGTACGGTCATGTTTCTCACCAAGCTGGAAAGACATGACATAAATCTTTAAAAATTCTGATAAAGGAGTAAATAAAGAAGTTTTAATTTTGAAAGCTAAGTATAAAAAACTGAGGGAGAAATTTTAAGTATACGCATCATAGTCAATTTTTGATATACTTACCAAGGATTTGTAAATGGTATAGGCTTCTTTCTCATTCTGAAGGGCAGTCCTGAAATCTCCAATACATGAGTGTGTTCTAGCTACAAGGTGGTACCCCATGGCTACCTTAAGACTTTGTGTGCCATAGAATCTGGAACAAGAAATTGGGTATTGATTATCATAAGGCTGGCCTACTATACAAAATTTAATAAACAAATGACAACTGATGAAAGCATACCAAACCCATGTTTTTGCTGCATGTGACTGAAAACAATTCAGTTCTTAAAAAAGTCATTAACCTTTAAACAGTTTCATATTTACTTAATTTCATAAATTCCAGCATGACTTTACCACTTGAGACTACACCTGACAACATTAAGAAATCAGTGACTACCTTGTATTCAGCTTGAGAGCATTTTCTAGGAAGGACAGGGACAATTCATACTGTCCAGCAGCGTGAAGGATGAGACCAATGTTGCTCTGAAAATAAACCGATTGGACTATAGATATGTTTTCTTCCAAATATTTTTAATTGTATTAAAATACAATATACAATCGCCAGACCATAAAGTTTAAATCCTTTTTTAAATAGAGACAAGTTCATAGATCAATAGATTGACATTTATTGCTCAGATTCTGTTTTCAAAATTAGAAATGATGATTTAAATATATGCCCAATTATACACAAACACTCTAAAATCTTAAAAAATCTTGAAAACGTGGAATGCAAATGATTCAAGACTTGCTACCTACATCATACAAAGCCATATTTGGATGATCCTCGTCATGACACAACAAAGACAGGTAGCGCGCCCTATACATCAACTGTAGAGCACTGGGAATCTGACCACCAGCAAAGCAGTACAGGGCAAAATGAGCCTACAATAATGATAATAAATATAAGAAGTATAAAAATAAAAACAATTACTAAACATTTGCCAACATGAAGAATGGTGAAAGCCTTCAATCTTTTATCTCCTGAGAATTTCTAAGTATTACATTTATTCATTTTGTCTTCATATTACTTTTACATGACACTAGCAGTTGTAAGGCAAAATTTGTCACACCTGGCACTTACATATTCAGTAATAGTGTTAGGATGATCTACTCCCAAGACTCTCTCTGTCATGATCACAGCCTTTTGCTGGAAGTTCAGGGCCTGTTAATGAAAATAATCAAGTAATGCATTAAGCAAGAATCCCCCTAGGTATATTTCTTCAAATTCTGGATTTCTTTCACTACAGGTCAAATTGTGTTTTGGAATTAAAACCCCTTTTGAAAAGTCTATGAAAACCAGCAAGGCAAGTTCTTAAAATATAATCTTCGCCCATACTGTGCATTTCAATATTCCAAATTTAGGATCAAACACTGAATGCCATGCTGCTTGAACTACCAGTTTTGACCTCAAAATTCTCCACTTAGAAGTTCTAGATGTTCTTAACGCCCCACGTTCCTCACCTCACCATAGTCCCCCATTATATAATTCAGTCTGGCCAAGAGTCTCATACAAGCAGCTATCTCAGGGTGCAGGGCTCCATACACATTGGTAAGCAGGTTCAGGGCCTCTCCTATCAGCTCATAGCCCTCCCTCAGCAAACCTTGCTGGATCTTGTTCTGACCACTGGTGAAGAACTGGTATGCATCTGTTGCCTAAATTACAAATATTACACATGGAGAGAAAATATTCTATTTGGCAATGCAGCTCGCAACTTTACTAGTTTTAAATATGCAGGCAATCCACATGTGGTTCCCCAATTCATTCTGTATGTTTCATCACAATCATGAAGCGAAGTTGATAGCACAACATAATAAATAGTGACAGTTTATTTCACCTTGACATTTTTGTCATTGGTACAGTACAACAATACTATGTATCCATACGAAATGTCAATGAATGACCCAAAAGGAATAATAATAATAATGCTAATATACTTAATATGAGACTTAAGTATTTCACAAAGTTCTTAAATCTATTAACTGACATAACTTTCCACCTTTCACCAAAAACACTCTCCCACACACAAACACACATAGAACATAACCAATGCCTACCTTGTGGTGTATATGTTTGGTAACAGGGAAAGTGTTGACAATGTCCTCTTCATAGAAGCACTGCTTGTGTCTAAGGTCCATGTAGTATTCCCTGAGCATCAGCTGAATTCCCAACTTCTTACAGAAAGCTCTGAGCAAGGAAATCTTCTGCATGTGGTAAGTCTCCACTGCTGTGTCCATGTTGTCTCTGAAAAAAGGTGGCATTTTTAAAAAATAGTTTTAATTCATAATATTTTTTTTTAATTTTTGTTATTTTTTAATTCATTTACTAAGTAGTTGGTAAAATTGTGGAAAAATTGCTAAAATGGTAAAAAACTCAATTTAGACTGATCCACTTATGCAGCTTTCTTACACTGACAAGTAATGATGCTGTAGTTAATAATACAGTGTATCTGATAAGAAGGCATAATAGACTTACCCCTCTAATTTGAAGTCATAGTGATTCTGAACATCTTCAACAATCTTCTTCCACAAGGTTTTAGGTGTTTCTGAGATCCATTCAGAATTGTCTAAAAAATACATACAATTTATGAGGAAAATATTTTTCCCTTACTGACAAACAATGAATGCAACTGTAAAGTATTTGAATAGAGCTACAATAAGCAATTGCCTAAATACTTGAAAACATGTTCAAATTTCAAACAGATACAGACTTACCATGGTTATATACAAGCACTCCAGCCTTGTTCTTCACCTTACCCCCCTTGCTCTTCTTCTTTCTTTGAAACTAGAACAAAATGGAAATGAGAGGGGTAATAACCAATCGCATATCTGGTAAGGAACGAAATTTTTTATTGCTTGAAGAGACATCACTTACTTCAAACAATGTATTTTTAACTTTTTCAATAAAAAGTTATCAATTTGTACCACTGGACCCCAAAATGACTCTTCACGTTTCATATACTGATGGGGCCTAACAACTGAAAGGATCCCTCACCTCCTCCGACATGACCTGTGTGTGCGGTGATGGGTGAGAGCCCAAATAGCAATTGAGAAAATGGCTGATAGCTTGAGAGAGAGACATGTGCTCCACATTGTGCATGTACTTCTGGTATAAATGTTTTGCAGCTCGGCTTATCATTTCAGCCACAGTGATGCTCTGAAAAATAAATTGATGAAAACTATAGAATGGATTTCTCTATAAAGTAAAAAAGATATGTACTAAATAGATCAAAATGTGGACTTTTTCAATTCAATATATCATGGTAGCAAATGTTACTGATATACATCATCAAACATAAAACTTAAAAAATTGGGAATGGCAATTTATCATTAACTTACGTGTACAAAGGAAAGCTGTGGATGTTGTTGAACTTGTTCTGCTACTCTGCCTAGATATCTCATATTGATGCCCCTGAAGGAAAAATAATTGATATTTATTGAAACTCATATGAATATCAGTGTGTGAAGCACACTTCAAGACAGTTGTTAACTTTACAACCTAGTAAATGCACAGTATACCATGAATATTATGGTTCTAAAATAATAAAAAAACACAGGATTTATATAGTACCTGTTATGTAATGCCTCCGTAAGTGTGATACCATCAACAGGAGTAAGAGAGTGGTTCAGGCAATCTCGGACCTGAAAGGTTCAAGTTTCAATTTTTTTAAAAATACTTTTCATGTTTATGTAACACTGTTTTCAAATTTAGCTGGAAATACAGTGAAATACAGAAACAGAATACTTCATTCAGTGCAGAACATGTGCATGCAGAAGAAGAGGAAATGCTTACAAAACCTTTGCAGGTAAGCAAGTTATATTCACTATAAGTAGTTTACAAATAGGAAGGTTTGTAACTTTTTTTCGCATCTTAGAAGGTCCAGCCTGAGCTTATTCTTCCATGATGCCTTTTCTTGTCAGCATGAACTGGTTTTAACTAGGTCACAGCACGGGATTATCCAAAAGTCTAGAGTTTCAAGCATGAAAATGGTCTCTCTACTTGAAAAACCATTGCTTAATTGTTTTTTTCCCCAAAAATTGTTCCAGAGTTATGGTGAGTGTCAGAAAAGGAAGTTTAAAGGTTGGTTAACTGTGGGAAAGTGCCATTTGCCCCAGGATAAATATTATTTTTGGCACAAAAGGGTGTGCCTTTAAGAATATCAAAAATGATTTCTCAAAATGAACAGAAAAAATGTTAGGTCCATGTACTTACAAAAACTGGCACCTGGTGAAAGACTAAGAACTCTGCCACATCCACTACTAGCTGCTTCTCTGCCTTGAACTCTTCTCCCTGTGAACATCCAAAAGGAATGTGATACTGTACATTGGAAAGCATACAGATGTTAACATTTATTCCATTTTTATGAGTGGATGCAAGAAGCTTGGTTCAATAATTAAACAATTTCTTTGTGTTATCATTACAAATTACAAATGGACAATCATTTCACTGACACAAATGTTATTATGTCCAGAGACTTAAAAACCTTTTCTTTCCTTCTGTTATTCTCAAACCAGGCTCACCTCTTTCTCAAAATGTGTGACAAATGGCTGGTATACATCAGGGTTAAAAGAAATGTCAAATTCTGAAATAAAAAGAAAATTGTTTTTTTACTGATCCAGTTTGCAATATAACATCAACTAGATGATAAAATTCCATACAATTTATGCCTCAAAAATCTCTTGGCAAATGAAGTCTCTAGCAGTAAAACAACAGAATTAATGAAATGGAGAAATTAAATACCTGTGTCGCTGAGAGAGCCAACAGATCTTGCTGCTGCCTTCACAATTTCCCTGGTGCTCTCCTCAACTGAAATTGATTTACAATACACATTAACAATTTGAAACTTTAATATATAAGAATACCTTACTTTGGTACATCACAAATAACTGCAGATGCAATCTGCACTTGGAAAACTGCAGCTGTCACAGCAAAATGTTAAGCAGAATGGTGCCACACATGAGCAACTTACTTTCAGACTCTCCCAGAGCCTTCATGAAGCCCTTGGCATCGTCTGTTGAAATATCTGCATTTTTTTCTCCCTCCTTATTGCTCACCAGTTTATCCATCCTTACTTCTAGTTCATCCTTCTTTTCCTGAATAATAATATAAAGTTTTAAAAAAATAGTAAAAGAAAGCAAATATTCAGATAATTAAATGAGAGCAACGACACAAAAATTTAACATTTTATATAACATGCTTATTCAACATGTATCCCCCAAACCTTAATCAATATGTAGAAGTTATTAAATCAACATGATCTTATTTGCTTCAGATCACATAAACACACACACAAACCTTGCTTTCCTCTTCTCCTTTCTCTTTGTCTTCAGCTTGAGCTTGTTTCAGTCTCAACTGCTGGAATTCATATGCAGCTTTCCGAACAAACTCAATGTACTTGGTCCTGTAAAGTAATAAAGCATAACATGAAAAAAACACCATTACTTACAAGCTCAGTAATGATCTTTGCAGCATACAGTTCATTTTCCCAACCATTTTATCAAATGACAACAATGGCTTCTATGTTAAGTCAATCCCTAAAAACACTGCCTACTAAAATGGTCTTTACTTTTTCTTAAGTAAGATTTCTATATGAGAGATAATTACTTACTCGATATATGCCTCTATAAGTTCCTGTCTTAAAGTAGTGAGCTTATGCTTATATTGCTTGGGATAGCCCTTCTCCTTCATTTGAGGGCTCAGGTCACCTGCTGATGCTGGAATTAATATTTGCTTTCAAATCACATTTTCCTTTCTTAAAATATATGTGCATTGATCAAGGTTTTTACGCCTTCTAAATGGGGAATGGGTTGCTACTTCCATTATGGAATACACCCATCAATTAATATTTTACTAGGTTCAACTCAACGGATGTGTTTTGCTTGGGCTCTGTATCTAAATATACAAGTTAAAGCCACAATATTACTTATGACCCATCATTCATCTCATATTTTACCTGGCAGATAATTGGTGTCTGGTGGGTAAGTTCTCAATAAATCCAAGACATAGTACCGCTTATCATTCCCAATAATTCCCTAAAAACAGAAGTACTATATCAAGAATAAACAATTCCAAGAATGCCTGAGATATGAAAATTTGGTAATCTTTTGGTTTCAATTTGCTATGTGATAACAAAGATCATAAAAAATTGTAGATTTTGACTTTTTAAGGACGTCCAATACAGAACTGTACCTTAACTTCATCAAAACATTCTTTAAAACAGCACATGTGCAATCCTTGCTTTTAAATTTTAAATGAAAAGTGAAAAACTACAAACCTTGCAGTCAACTGAGGAGAACAATTCTATGACTTCATCTTTGTTGTTCACAACTCTTTAAATAGAAAATTTTTCATTAAATTATCATGGAACAAATAATAGAGAAAACAGTCAAATAGTCTAAAAGAGCACATTTTCAACAATCTGTATAAAGATCCAAATATGTGAAATTCTTCCAAAGCAGCAAAAACCCAATACCTTAAGGGATTACAATTATTGTCTTATATATATATGTAAATACAGGGAAATTAACCCCAACAGCTAAGGAGCAATTTCTTAAGGAGATGTACTTACTTGTGAGGTTTGATCTTCAAATTTGATGAGGATTTTTTAAGCTAAAATTAATAAAAAACATCATTTAATATATAAATATTAAAATGTTGACAAAGACAGGTCCTCAAAATATATGTCAAACCCGATCTAATCATAAGTAATGCAAAATCACAAGATATTATATTTATTAAATTTTCTATCATCAACTTACCAGATCTCTATATTTATCATCTGTCACAACAGTTTTTCCAAAGTCTANATATAGGCTGAAAAGTGAAAAAACAGCATAAATTCTACAATAATGGCCCGATCATGCCGATTTTCAAACTTGACCTGCGTTTTATGAATATTCATCAGCTCTGTAAATATAAAGCCAAAAAGTAAAACTGTCTTCCACTTATGGTGTTAACGCTGAAAGTGCACGGCGACGGCGACATCGGCGGCGACATGAACGGCGACGGCGACGACAGACGCAGGTGATGGCAATATGTACAGACACATCTGTGTCTGTACATAACAAAATGGGAATGGCAATTTATCATTAACTTACGTGTACAAAAGAAAGCTGCGGATGTTGTTGAACTTGTTCTGCTACTCTGCCTAGGTATCTCATATTGATGCCCCTGAAGGAAAAATAATTGATATTTATTGAAACTCATATGAATATCAGAGTATAAAAGCACACTTCAAGACAGTGGTAAACTTTACAACCTAGTAATTGCACAGTATACAATTAATATAATCATGGTTCTAAAATAATAAAACACAGGATTCATATAGTACCTGTTATGTAATGCCTCCGTAAGTGTGATACCATCAACAGGAGTAAGAGAGTGGTTCAGGCAATCTCGGACCTGAAAGGTTTAAGTTTCAATTTTCTTAATAATACTTTTGATGTTTATGTAATACCGTTTTTATATTTAGCTGGAAATACAGTGAAATACAGAAACAGAATACTTCATTCCATGGAGAACATGTGCATGCAAAAGAAGAGGAAACAGAACCTTTGCAGGTAAGCAAGTTATATTCACTATAAGTAGTTTACAAATAGGAAGGTTTGTAACTTTCCTTCACATCTTAAAAGGTCCAGCCTGAGGTTATTCTTCCATGACGCCTTTTCCTGCCAGCATGAGCTGGTTTTAAATAGGTCACAGCACGGGATTATCCAAAAGAATTGTTTCCTTTCCAAAATTGTTCCAGAGTTATGGCGAGTGTCAGGAAAGGAAGAGTATAGGTTGGTTAACTGTGGGGAAAGTGCCATTTACCCCAGGATAAATATTATTTTTGGCACAAAAGGGTGTGCCTTTAAGAATATCAAAAATGATTTCTCAAAATGAACAGAAAAAATATAAGGTCCATGTACTTACAAAAACTGGCACCTGGTGAAAGACTAAGAACTCTGCCACATCTACTACTAGCTGCTTCTCTGCCTTGAACTCTTCTCCCTGTGAACATCCAAAAGGAATGTGATACTGTACATTGGAAAGCATACAGATGTTAACATTTATTCCATATTTCTGAGTGGATACAAGAAACTTGATTCAATAATTAAAAATAACTTCTTTCTGTTATGTTATCATTACAAATGTGAGGCAATCATTTCACTGATACAAATGTTTAATGTTTAAGTCCAGAGACTTAAAACCCTTTTTTTCCCTTCTGTTATTCTCAAACCAGGCTCACCTCTTTCTCAAAATGTGTAACAAATGGCTGGTATACATCAGGGTTAAAAGAAATGTCAAATTCTGAAATAAAAAGAAAATTGGTTACTGATCTGCTATGAAATATAACATCAATTAGAAGATAAAATTCTATACAATTTATGCCTCAAAAATCTCTTGGCAAATGAAGTCTCTTGCAGTAAAACATAGCCGAAGTATTGAAATTGAATGATATAGGGAAATTAAATACCTGTGTCACTGAGAGAGCCAACAGATCTTGCTGCTGCCTTCACAATTTCCCTAGTGCTCTCCTCAACTGAAATTGATTTACAATACACATTAACAATTTGAAACTTTAATATATAAGAATACGTTACTTTGGTACATCACAAATAACTGCAGATGCAATCTGCACTTGGAAAACTGCAGCTGTCACAGCAAAATGTTAAGCTGAATGGCATCACATAGGCTAAAATTACATGATATACAACTCTCCATCCTCTCCTTTTCTTTTTACTAAAAAGTTTCTTCCAAATTGTTGCCACACATGAGCAACTTACTTTCAGACTCTCCCAGAGCCTTCATGAAGCCCTTGGCATCATCTGTAGAAATATCTGCATTTTTTTCTCCCTCCTTATTGCTCACCAGTTTATCCATCCTTACTTCTAGTTCATCCTTCTTTTCCTGAATAATTATATAAAGTTTTAAAAAAATAGTAAGAGAAAGCAAATATTCAGACAATTAAATGAGAGCAACGACACAAAAATTTAACATTCTATATAACATGATTATTCAACATGTATCCCCCAAACCTTAATCAATATGTAGAAGTTATTAAATCAACATGATCTTATTTGCTTCAGATCACATAAACACACACACAAACCTTGCTTTCCTCTTCTCCTTTCTCTTTGTCTTCAGCTTGAGCTTGTTTCAGTCTCAACTGCTGGAATTCATATGCAGCTTTCCGAACAAACTCAATGTACTTGGTCCTGTAAAGTAATAAATCATAACATGAAAAAAACACCATTACTTACAAGCTCAGTAATGATCTTTGCAGCATACAGTTCATTTTCTCAACCATTTTATCAAATGACAACAATGGCTTCTATGTCATGTCAATCCCTAAAAACACTGCCTACTAAAATGGTCTTTACTTTTTCTTAAGTAAGATTTCTATATGAGAGATAATTACTTACTCGATATATGCCTCTATAAGTTCCTGTCTTAAAGTAGTGAGCTTATGCTTATATTGCTTGGGATAGCCCTTCTCCTTCATTTGAGGGCTCAGGTCATCTGCTGATGCTGGAATTAATATTTGCTTTCAAATCACATTTTCCTTTCTAAAAATATATGTGCATTGATCAAGGTTTTTACGCCTTCTAAATGGGGAATGGGTTGCTACTTCCATTATGGAATACACCCATCAATTAATATTTTACTAAGTTCAACTCAACGGATGTGTTTTGCTTGGGCTCTGTATCTAAATATACAAATTAAAGCCACAATATTACTTATGACCCATCATTCATCCCATATTTTACCTGGCAGATAATTGGTGTCTGGTGGGTAAGTTCTCAATAAATCCAAGACATAGTACCGCTTATCATTCCCAATGATTCCCTAAAAAACAAGTACAATATCAAGAATAAACAATTCCAAGAATGCCTGAGATATGAAAATTTGGTAATCTTTTGGTTTCAATTTGCTATGTGATAACAAAGATCATAAAAAATTGTAGATTTTGACTTTTTAAGGACGTCCAATACAGAACTGTACCTTAACTTCATCAAATTCATCAAAACATTCTTTAAAACAGCACATGTGCAATCCTTGCTTTTAAATCTAAAATGAAAAGTGAAAAACTACAAACCTTGCAGTCAACTGAGGAGAACAATTCTATGACTTCATCTTTGTTGTTCACAACTCTTTAAATAGAAAATTTTTTATTAAATTATCATGGAACAAATAATAGAGAAAACAGTCAAATAGTCTAAAAGAGCACATTTTCAACAATCTGTATAAAGATCCAAGTACAGAGAATATGTGAAATTCTTCCAAAGCAGCAAAAACCCAATACCTTAAGGGATTACAATTATTGTCTTATATATATGTAAATACAGGGAAATTAACCCCAACAGCTAAGGAGCAATTCCTTAATGAGATGTACTTACTTGTGAGGTTTGATCTTCAAATTTGATGAGGATTTTTTAAGCTAAAATTAATAAAAAACATCATTTAATATATAAATATTAAAATGTTGACAAAGACAAGTCCTCAAAATATATGTCAAACCCCAATCTAATCAGAAGTAATGCAAAATCACAAGATATTATATTTATTAAATTTTCTATCATCAACTCACCAGATCTCTATATTTATCATCTGTCACAACAGTTTTTCCAAAGTCAACAGAGCCATAAACTACAGACTGGTCCTGCTCCCTTTCAAGAATGCCTAAAAGATAGTACATATATCAGTAAGCTTAAAGTCTATCATCTTTTATAAGAGCAAGGGACATGTATTTTATCTAAGTAAAAACAAGGCTTCTAAAAGGGCATTTAAGTTAAAGTTTTAAAATGAGAATGAAGACAGACTAATAAAAGATGGACATCCATTCCTGAAATTGCAGAATAATCATTTTAAACCACTTCAAAACACACCAGCTCTTTTACACATATAGAGATCATACTCCAACAGGAGAAAAAACATTATGCCCAAGAGCCTATGCACTCCCTTCAGGCAAAATGCATTAACTGAACAGCTTTCCATTTAGTAGTGTACCTGGTATAATAGACTGAGCTGTGACTCTGTATCCTCTGTAATCTACCAGCACTGTCCCCAGGGTGTACAGGCCCTCCTGGTCCAGATTGGTGTATGCCTTCACACCCTGGAGGTCACAGGCCTGAAAATATGACAGGTTCAGATTTATTATCTTTGGACATTTTAAAGGTAAAGTCTTGTTCAATGCCGTTAAAATTGCAGAATGGTTGGTTAAAATTTGTAAATTTGTTCAGTGACTGTTTATTATTTTTTTGTTGTGGGCAAGAAGATGAAAGTTTTTGGCACACACTAGTATACCAAGACTTTCGTAGCCTCAAGATAGGGACATGTGGTCTAAACGCCTTGAAGCACGATTTAGATTTATAGTTCATCATAACTGAAATACATAAACTGTGGCAGTAACTGAGTAAGAGAAAATTTCCCTTGGGTGATAGATAAAGAAATCTTACTAAGGGAATGTCTTGTTGTTTTTAATGAAGAAAGAAAAGATATATTTTACTTACAGGAGCAGCATATGCAGCAGCATCTCCACCAAACTCTTTGTAGTGATCCTTCACATCAAAGCCAAGGCTAAAGAAGATGTTGTTCCAGATAAACATCTGCATCCTAAAAAAAAAAAATAAAAACAAATAGTTGTATAATCCATTTTAATACTGTTCAAGGAAATATGAAAAAAACATGCAAATCACCCAAATAACCTTGCAGCAAATATCTTATCTGTTACAACAGTATATGTGCATATTCTATATTTTAAATAAATAGGAAATACTATTAATAAAGCTTGAAGAGTGGAATACAGCTGTTTTTATCCACAGGCTTAAATTCAAAATCTTAAATTCTAGGGACCATTTAGCCAAAGATGCCAAGAAGAAGGTAGCATGAGGCTGTTACATTATTCAGAAATTTCTAAATCCCTCACGGCTAGGTATATAGCAACTGTCCTTTATCTTTGTCTCAAATCATTTGCTGGGTGCTTTTTGAGCATGAGCTAACAGAAATTGACAGTTTTATGAGTCTCTGCCTTGGCACCAGTTGGTAATCAAACCCACAATCATGTTCTCCGAGGACAAAAAGTAAACCCCTTAGGCATGGATGTGGGGAAATAAAAGAAACAAATGACACCCCACCCTACCAACTGTGATTATTTCAAAGATCACACATTGGCAGAAACTTCCCACACCATCTTTCACACACTCAATAAAGTAAAGAAAATCTGTCGCACACAAAAAAAATAAAAAAATAAAGAATCTGTCACAGAGAGGAAGACATCTCGGCATATGCATCTATATTGCTTCCTCAACTTATAAGGCAATAAGCCTTTACTTACTTAGTGTCATCTCCAGGGTTGATAGCCATGACATTGCCATCTATAACTGCCATAGCACCTCTGGTGGCTGCTCCAACAAAGTCTCCATGCACCTAGAAATAAACAGCAGTGGTTTCCATTGAAAATGGCTATTTGACATGCCCCCTTTTTGCTCCTTGGCCTCTAAGCATTCAATTTAACATCACAGAAAAACTAGAGCTACCATTATTTTATTTCTTTTGCATCGTTTATTTGTTACCATATTTATTTTAGCATTTGTTTGTCTTACTTACAAGACCAATTTAAAAGTTGTTGACAAAATGAACAATATTCTGCACAGGTACCTTGAATATGGCCCTTTCTCTCATCAATCTCTCTGGCAGTGTTTTCCTTGGCAGTTCTCTTGTTGTCTGAATCTCCTCATTCCAATCTCTAGTCTGACCTGGAATGTGTTCTTCATAACCTAGTCTTGTGGCAAAAGCTGCAACAATCAAAACCAGAAGATTTTTAATTAAAATATAATAGCTGTTATATGGCGATTAAGGATTTATGCCACATTTCCTATAGTCAATCCCTACATTATGGAGTAAAAAATGCAAAATAAATACCTTCACATTGTTAATTTATAAGTTTAAATAAAAAAAAATAATAGCAATATTTGACTCAATAACTTTCAAAATGAAAATGGTTAAAAAAAAACTGCTGACATGTGTAAACAGATATGACTTGACACCTTTTCCGATTCTTAAGTTCCTTAGACTTCATTTCACCTTCCAAAATGGATAACTGGTCTTACCGTCTTCTCCTCTAATGGAGTCCACCAAATGCTCCATAGGTGGAGTCACCCAACTGTAGACTTGATACGGGCCCATCACGCGCTCAAATGGGTGCTTGAAAGCGCGCTTTTTTAACAGGATGGCAAAGTTGCGTTTAAATGCTGGACTTATCTGAAGTAAAAAGAAAAAGATTTTGGGGAAAAACATTTTGATTGAATTTTAATAGAGACATGATGGCTTTCGTATACTACAGGTTTGTTACATGATATTGATCACCAAGCAATTAATGGAAAGAAAACCTGCCAAGGGAAGCAGGGGATCTCGAACTTGTAACAGCATACATATTTGAAAAAAAAAAAAAAAAGTTTTGTGTTTTTTGTTTGATATGTTAACAAATTTTTTTTCAAAGACATACCTGATTCAAAAGATCAATGAGGGAGTGATAAATTTTGTTATTAACTGGACGAGGGTTGAATTCTTCATCAGTGGAGCTGAAAAAGGAACCCTTTTATGTGACCTGTGTAAGGTGATTCTTATCTCAACATTTTTACATATACAAGTAAACAAGCCTTTCAAAATATTTCTATTAAAAGATTCTAGCAAAGCTTTTAAAGTTTCAGTTTATCACCAATGGCACCTATGAACTATCTACTTTCACAGATAAAATCTATTACGTGATGACTGAAAGAAAATGAGATAATCTCAATTTTAAGCCTCTTATCGTGTGCTTACTGATTGATATAAAATCCCAGAGGACATGCTGTGATGTGGTATTTTTTGTCTTCTAGCGTCACCACATAGATGTACAACAGATCACCTGTAAGATAAGTAGCAATAGGATTAACTTTCAATCACACCATACACCAACTGTTAAGCTGCTCAGGCCATGTAGGCGCAAGAATAACATCTTCCTACATGCTTTTTCTGCTGTGCACAACATTTTTTTTTTCCAAAATGAGCAAAAATATTGTATTGATAAATTAATTTACACATGAAGTAGATTTACAAATGCCTTAAAATCCCACATAATTAAAATACAAAAAGAGGATACAAGAACACATTAAAAGATCACTCACTGAATTACTACTACAACACACTCAAAACCACGAAAACCACAAGCCCACATAATATTTGACATTCAATCAACCCTCTAGCCTTTGTATGGTAATCTAATAGGCTTATTCAAAAGACTTGGCTCAATTGGAAACTGAGCTCAACCTTCACACAAGCTGGGTTATTAATTGAAAAGATCTACCCAGTGGCTGGGTTTCCTGGACTCAACTCACCATGCAGTTTGCGGTTTCCTGGAGGGGGATTCCATCCAGTTAATGTCAGCACCTTTAAGCATTTTGGGGCCTGAAAAAAAAAGAAGTCTCCTTGCATTGCATTCCATTGTAATATTCTTCAGTAAATCATATCCAATGCAAATAACATTCATTAATAAATTGTCCTTTTAACACTTTTTCACACCTGACACACTTTTCACTTTACATAAACATGACAAATTGTCTGGAAGAACGACAAAAACAATTTGAACATACATACCTGCTTCAAGTATACATAGTGTTAGCATGCACCTTTATTTCCAAGAATATCTCATTTACTTAGAAAACAACTTAAAAACCACAGAGTCAAAGGTGTAATTGGGGGTGGGGGATAAAAAATTTTGATCATAAAATTGCTGTGGTGAGGTTTCTAATGACCCTCACCTTGAGCTCCTGCAGCCCTGGGTTCAGAGGTAGAAGAGGTCTTTCCTTGCTCCCTGGCATGATGAAGTCTGGTGGTGTGCAATCCAGGGAGTCTGGCTTCCCTTTCTTATTTTCTGGAGTAAGCAAAAAAACAAACGCTACTGAGAACAAACAGTAATGTAGGAAATCTCACAAAATAAGCTTACATAAGAAATCGAAACACATAGGATTACTATCATGCTCTGTCACTTATTAAAACTATCTTAATTACCTTGAAAAAAACTTTAACAAGTTGTTCTTTAAATCATAAACTGCTGAAATGAAGAAACTTTCACAAATAACTATAATAGGGGAAATAACTTACCCAGTATGTCACCTGCAGTGACAAGGTTGACAAAAGAAAGGGACATTCCTTCCTGTCCATTGTACGCATCTGCATAGTCAACAGACTTCAGCAAATCTCGCACATGGCGCACATGACATTTGGCTTCGCGGATCGTGTAAGGTTCTAAAAATCAAATGCATATTATGATTTACACACAAGTAAAAAAGCCTATCAACATTCCTGGTAATTTATAGACATATTTTGCTTCAATTTTCCCTTTTATCGGTCAAAACATTTACATTTGCTAAAAAGGTAAAAATAACTTAAAGAACTTGGTATGCATATGAATGTGGAAATTTTGTAAATATCAATTTTTTTTTTAAATCTCTTCAAGCTTCATATCAGCTTTGGAAAAGTTCTAATATCCTAAATTCCTAATTATCAACAAATGTTATCTCTAGATGTGGCTACAGTAAAGGGCATATATATATATAAGTAACTGCAACACTGGTGGTGAAAAAAAAAACTGCAAATATGTAGCAAGTACACCAAATTATTTCAACAGGTATTGCTCGTGGCACCAGGTATTTTCATTCAATATCAAAACGCATGCAGACAATGAATGTTGATATAAGGAAACCGCCAGCAGTTACGTGAATGGGTGTTTACACTCAAAGTTGTATGAAATATGCCTTACTTTATGTGACCTTACTGAACCCTTCACAGTGCACAAAAAGATACAGTTATAAAATAAACCATGGGGTAAAGAGATCGAATTCACTTTAAACACATGAAAGCATGGCTGTCACACTTTGTCTAAAATAATATCACAGATTTTCTGTAGCAGCAGAAAATCAAACACTGGCCTTGTTTCTTTAATCTTATTGGAAAATGCTTTCTTTGGTCTTATCTACCATAATCTTTCAGCCAGACAGTTGCTGAAAAAGCAGGTTAAATGCACCTTTACAGTTTACACTTACACAGAGACAGCTTTTGCCAGGTTGCACCATTGGCAACTTCAAAAGCCTTCCTTTGTGCGCATTAAACTGCTAAATTGGAGCTACATAATGACTGGGGTAATGCACTGTTAGCTGACACATAAACCAAAATCAGTGAGGCAAAGCAAGGAAAGTCGGGGGCAAGCGTGGCGTTCAGTTCAAGTTTTTGAACTTTTGAACGGGCCATTCTATAAATTTCTGGTCAAAATGCAAACAAGATTTCTCTCTATGCAGAAATTGCCAGACTGCTTAGACTGGAATCTTTGCAACTATATAAGTCCAAATCAACTCATTTGATATTTGGTATTGAGCGGTTAAACAGTTACATAAGGACATTTTTTAAACAATTCCTATAAAGTCATATATGTGCAAAGAAAACATTCCAGTATTTGCAAACAAGAAAATTATGATTTAATATATAGAATTCATGTGATTCAAATACCAATTTATTATTTAAAATCTCCAACTGGCAGGTAATGGCAATATGATAAGTGGGGAAAAAGTTTTGTGATTGGCATTTACTCCCAGAAACTATGAAAGGCATCTGCTGGTAGCTCTATATTCTCAACAAATCACCACACCTGTATGTGTATATGGCATTTGTGTAATCAACTGGTAAAACAAACAACAGTGCTAAGGCATTTTCAGAGAAATTCGGCAAGATTTACCCCAAGCACCAAAAGTACACCCATATAATTCCAACCCAGAATGGAGTTAGTTGCAACTGAAACAGTTGGATGATTTATGGCAGAGACAAGCCTCAAGCAACTGTTCTTAAATCCACTGACTTAGAGGGTGAAGAAAAATAAGGGGCATTTCCTAAGAATTTGTTGAACACAAATCTACATTACTCAACAAAGATAGCAATTCAATATGCTCCCAGTAATTCACCACAGGGTGCAAAAGTAATGATCTTCAAAGTACTATCCAGGGCAAATAAATATATATTCTGACAACACAACAAATCAAACTGAAGAACATACCAACCAGGGACAGACTGACTATCACTGTGGTAGGTTTTTCCACTGGTGCCACAAGGCACCAACACCACACAGCAAAATTATCCATCGAATATCAGTTTGATAATCTTTTGAAGGACCTTGCTATCCAACCAGATAAATTTTGAAACCCTTATCAGCAAAAACAAACTTTCCAAGAAGTACTATTTTTGCTTATGGTATAGGCTTACTAGCAGGAAATTATTGCAATAGTGACTTACAGACATGCTGAAACTGTCGGTCCGATCAGTCATGACTGGCAAAATTTGTCTGGACCGGTAAAAAATTGGACTTGGTCGGTACAAAGGACCGACAAGAGTTTTAAGAACCACAACTTTGAATTTACAGTCATCATTCGATTAACTTCGCTAATAAATATCTGTCTCAAACGAATAGGGTGATTTTGGGTTCGGGAAAAATCCATTTGGTCCAGGAAATTTTTCATTATTGCCAGTCCAAATGTCCGGCCATTTCTTAAAGTTTTCAGCATGTCTGGACTTAATGAAATCAATGTTTATTCAAAATCAAGTTTTACCTCTTTACCCATGCCCCCTCCTCTTAAATTAAAAAAAAACAAACCAATATCCCAAAACTTTTAGTCAACAAGTTCTATCATTCTGCCCTTGAGTAGCACTTCCTGTTCACCTTACACTGATAATCTGTGCACGTGCACATACAGCATTTTTGTAAGTAATTCCATACATGTGGTTTGGAGATTTTATGTAAAATATGACCAAGGTTGTCTTCTACTGTCTTCAGTGGCCAACCGGCCATCAAAAAAACAATGAGCAGGTCACTGACTTACATCCTGGCAGAAGTTAATGAAATATTCCCCCTTTTTATAACAAAAAAATACATGGCTCAGAGTTTGAGACCAATGCCAATTTTCATGAAAGCAGACTAAGTAATTGTGGATTTTTTTAAACTGAACTAGACAGAGTTCTGGTTTATAAAGATTGGACCAATTTTTTTTTTTTTTTTTTTTT